CTCCACTTTTTGGGGGTCAAGCATATTGTCTCCCGTCACCCATAACCATAACCTTTTTGTAACAACTGGTAACAAAAGAGCTTCTATTTACCAAGTGTTTGCTATAGGTGAGGCCAAGCTAAAGTCTCTAAATATCTTACTTATTCCTTACCACAATTCTAAGAGCAAAGACTACCACACTCATTTTTACAGATGAAGAAATGGAACCTCAGAGAGATTAAGTGACTTGCTCAAAGTCACAGAGTTCATTGGCAATGGAGCCAGAATTGGAATCCAGGCAGAACTTGCAACGGCTTCCGAACTGGACTCAGTATCACCATTCTCCGCCTCCTCTTATTACACCAGATGGAATCACATCACTTATGTGCTTAAAACCTGTGGCACTCCCACCTCACCCCTTTCACTACCCAAATAACACAACCTCAGCCTTTTAACATCTCATTTCCAAGTCCAGTTTTCAACACACTTATTCACATACTCATTATAAGTCAATGAATAATAGCAAGACCTAACATTTGCATCAAAGCAATTTTATATACACCTTCCCCAAACCATGTGACATAGGCAAGTGAGCAAACACTTCTAAGCAGTTTCAATTGCTTATCAAGAGGCAAAATGATACGCCTTGACTTTCCTTCCTTGTTCTCACGGTGCTCTGATCTTTCTACCATGTTTCAAGTATGTCACATTCCTTCAACTCTCTAATTCTGCAGCACTGTTTCTGCTGGTGAGCATGCCCTTCACCCTGCCTGGTGAGCACATAGTAATCCTTCCTGATTTCTCTGGCTCAACTGACCCATCTTTCTTTGGGCACACTTAACAGCCCATTAATGCCCTGCATGATCGCACTGCCTACATGAGATTAGATGCGCCTGTTTGCTTGACTCTCTTTTCCAGTACACTGTGGACTTCTCTAGAACAGAGATTATGGGTCATGCGCATGACCTCATTTAGGAAGCTAGGTTAAACTGGCAGTGGGGAATGGAATGAATGAAAAAAGACATGATTCACAGCAAAGGTGTGTTTTTACTGCTTCCAGGACTCATGCAACACTGAACTGATAATTATCAAGAGTGAGACTTGGTACTAGGGGCTGAGATAAATGGTGGTGTGTTAGGTGTGTATGTATGTATGTGTGCAGAAAAAGAAGGGGTGGGATATGTATATAGTGGATATACATATATAATTTATCTCTTTGTACATATAAAATGTGGGTACATGCATATAAAGTATGCATATATAATGAGTATAAATATACTCGTGTATACATGTATAGTCTGTATAAATATGCATGTACATATATAGTATACATACATGTATAGTTTATGTGCATATGTACATATATAGTGTACACAAACTTGCCTGTATACTTATAGTGTGTGGATATATAGTTTGTTTTTGGTCTTCACATAAACAGTATATATACAGTAGTGTGCATACATATTAGGTCTGTCCTGAAAAAGTCCAACCATTATTAATATAATGAGAACAGTTTGGATGACATCCATGTAACCTGGCAGCCAAGGAGGCTGGACTGGATGCTCATGTGCAAACAATGAAAACTTCACTGTACTAGTCAGTGGGGGCAGTAGATGCCATTGAGTGAGCATGTGTACTGTGTGGCCATCACATTCAAAATGACTGAATAGAGCAACAAATCTGCATCAAATTTTGTGTTAAATTTGAGCACTCCTCCATGGAAACTATTCAGGTGATTCAGAAGACTGGGTAGCTATGGGCAACTCGTGATTGGTAGCTTCATCACAACAAATCACCCACTCACGCATCCGTCTCATGAAGAATTTCTTGGTGAAATACCAAATCACCCAGGTGACTCAGCCCCCCTACAGCCCAGATTTGGTACCCTGTGACTTCCAGCTTCTCCAAAAATTAAAATCACCTTTGAAAGGGGAGAGATTTCAGAACATCAATGAGATTCAGGAAAACACAACGAGGCAGCTGATGGTGATTGGGAGAGCTGGGTGAGGTTCCAAGGTGACTACTTTGAATGGGGCTGAGGTGTCATTGTGCTATGTACAATATTTCTTGTATCATTTTCAATAAATGTTTCTATTTTTCATATCACATGGCTGGATACTTCTGGACAGACTTCATATACAATGTAGATTCACACGCATGTATGGTATATGTGTGCACACACCTCATCTATGTGTGTGTACTGGAACGCAGCTCGAGCAGAGACTTAGAGGGTACACTTGAAGATGGTAGGAAGGACATTTATTAAACACAATATACATATTTTTAATAAAATGAGAGGCAGCTTGAGGCTTGCCTCCTTGCTGAGGAGAGAGCATGCCCTGAAGAAGAAGAAACAGAATTAGGAAGGAAAATAGCCTAAAGAAATCTCACTAAAACCAAGCAAGAACCACATTCTAAGAAGATGCTGGTTAGCAAAAATAAATACACTGTACCTTTAAAAAACAAAGCCAAGGAAATGGAAAACCGGGGGTGGGGAGTGGGGTGGGCAGCAGCAGGGGAATTAATGGATTTGACAATTAGGAAGACAGCAGTGAATGGGTGGGGAAGCTGGGGGAGGTGGCGGGGGTGAAAGTTTCCGGAACAGGTGGAATGACTCAAGGTAAGGAAGTAGAGTCATATACACACAGACTCTCTTTCCCACACTTTGGCCTTGAAAGAATGACAAGAGAAGCCACTCTCATGCAAGCAAAATACAAGATGGCTTTCTCTGGTTCCTGTAGGATTGGAAAAGCTCAAACAAGTGTGTGGACAGAAGACCACAGTCCTGAACTGTTGTCCTAGTATTCATGTCATGAAGCATCAAACATAGCAAACATGGCCGAGACCTCCAACCCATCTAGTGGTAGCTCAAAATCTCTCACAACAAACCTATGAGGTGGGTTCTATAATTATGTACATTTTATAGGTAAGGAAACAAGGCCCAGAGAGGTTAAGTAACTTTCCCAGAGTCACTCAGTTTTTAAGTCTTAGAGTCCAGGTTCCCCCTTACTCCCCCCAGACAACCTGACTTCAGCCTGTGTGCTCTTAGTTGATGTGCAGGGAGGGACACAGAAAAGAGTCTTGACCTGCCTCCTGCTTTCCCAAGTCCTGCTTGGCTTTCTCTCAAATTTCCAAGCAGAGGTTTGGAACCATGAACGTCCACATCAAAGTAATGGGCTAGGGGAACACTGTGTGGGAGAGGCAGTGGCTGGGGAAGAACAGAAGGGCAAGGCCATTTATCGGTGTTGAAGACTTTGCATCTTTTTAGCAGTTGTGAAAATGGAGATTGTCTTAAGCATCGTCAGAGGAAAGGTAGAGTGTAAATTTCCAGTATTTCACAATCTGGGACAAGTCCACCTGTGAAGGTACCAATTCTTTATCCATAACACTAGATGATGATGATGATGATAACTTTAAAGGATAACAGTAACTATCTTACAACCCTTAGAGTATTGTAAGGAGCAAGTGAAACAATGTGTGTGATAATGAATTCGAATGTGAACTATTTCATCATCATCATTATTATTATTATTATTATTAGGCTATTAAACCATTTGAAAAATTGCTCATCATCTTCATTCTCCCACTTCCACCTCCCAAGGCATTAAAAACTGATAAGACATTTGATTTTGAGATAGTCTTGCTAAACCCAAATAATTTACATGTGTAATATTTGCCCCAAGCTAAATTCCCTATGTGGTGAGGCAACATGACACATTGTTGAAGTGTTCAGAGAGTGAGCTGTGGTCAATTGCCATTATCCAAGATCTGCAAGCAGCTTGGAAGTGCCTGAAGCAGCTCAAAACAGCAAATAGTTGTGTCGGATATTCCACGCCTGCCTGTTCATTCTTTTATTTCTCCACTCAGCATGTTGATCATTGATATACAACCTTCAGTGCAGCATTCCCCCTTACATCTCATTACCTGTTTTGGTGGATTTCACTTTTATACATCAATACAGACTTGAAGTTCCAGCATGGTCTTGCTGAGGACAGAGGAGGAAACTTTAGCAAAGAAGCCCAGAGATCACATAGAAAACCTGCCCATGAGTTGCCGTTTGGACTGCATTTTACCAAAGATTTGGAGGGGTCTCCTCTGGCAGACTGTGGAGACCAGGTCTTCAGATGGATTTTTCACCTTCAAACAAGATAGTTGGGTTCATATATATAGTTAGTCTAGAATTACAGGCAAAGCTGCCACTCTTTATACTTTTCTTCCTAACTTGTCTTGATTTCTAACTTCATCTAACTACACTCCAAGGATAAAATTAAAACAATTAGGCAGCAGCTGCCTAGCTGGTAGCTGTCATGGGGTACATGACGGGTGATGGGTGTGTGGTCAGTAACAGGGACATTTTACTGTTACAATCTTCAAGAACATCTGAGACACTACTTCCTTTCATAGATTAAGAACCAGGGGTCTAGGGTCAAATTTCACTTATCATTTTTTCTTTGAGAAAGGGATATGCAGTTCTCATGTTTGTCTTACTTGACAAAAGTGAATATACAAAAATCCCAGACTGCAGAGGCAATGCGTATTATAGTCATTCGCACTAAGAGGCTTCGTGAAAAGGGGGGCATACTCTGAACCCCCTTTTGTATCTATCAGCCCCTCTGATGCACACACTTAACTTACCAGTTTCACACAGCAAGGCACTCCACTAATTCTATTCATCTCCAAACACCACACTCCCCCCAGATAATCAAATGGTTGCTCAGTGTTAATCTCTCTAACACTTTCCAGGGTAATTCTTTCAGTTGCCTGTTATGTAGAAATCAGTTGAAACAGTCAGAACAACAGTGTTTTTTTTTCTCTGTAAAGTCTCTAGCCCAAAACAGACAAACAGACACCTTCTCCTGCCCCCTTCTCTCCTATAATCCCCACAAACACCCCACCACCAAATTACCCTCTTTCCGAGAGAGGGCTCTGACAGATACCTGACATCCCAGCTCCCTCTTCCCATTTTAGTATTTTTATTGAAAATGCTAGTGAAACAGGAGCCAGTACTTTTTTTGGTTTATTTCTGTTTTTTTTTAAGCACAAATAACATTTCTTTTATATAAATACAAAGTTCTATGAAAATATAGAAATTACAACAATCCTAGTCACTGCCTAGCAGCAACATGCTTCCTTTTCTAAAGCATCAGAGATCAGATTCTCCATTTAAAAAACAGGGTGTTTTTTTTTTTTTGGCCTGGTTCTAGGGCACTTTCAAACATCAGAAATTCTTTGTCCTACAAACAAGTCCTTTTAGAGATGACTTAAATATGCCAGTGATGAATGTCTAAACTGATCCCAGAATTGAGGCTATGGAAGTGAACTAGAATTCAACACCAAGTATACAACTGTTGGTACACAAAAAGTATATAAATTACTTCATCAAATTACAAAAATAAACCAGATTTTATCTATAAATCTCTATCAAGTAATAAATTACTTACTAAAATATAAAAATAAAAAAGCTCAGGTGTGTTTCTTCTGATTGAAGTGCACAACAATCCTGGTTCTCAGGGGCCACTGCCCACTGCAGCCACCACCGCCCGGGAGGGACGCATGTCACTTGCCATCAGCAGACCTTAGAGTTCCCAGTATTCTATCCCAGTGTGTGAAGTAAGGGGCGAAGTTGCAGTTAAACTGAGAGTGATGCAAGTCGTGGTGCGCCACGCCCCCGTACCACCCAAAAGGTACCAGTTTGTGCGTGGACCAGGGAAATTCATAGCCTGAGTGGTCCTCCACCGACAGCCAGATGTTGACCACGTGGAAGGCCATGGCAGTGAGCGGGTGACACTGGAGCAGCGTGATGTTCATCATGTCAAAGAAACCCAAGGAAAACAGCTCCCAGAAGCTCATGTACTGCGTGGCCAGCGCGAACGAGGGCGAGTTCTTGTGGTGCACCTTGTGAACGTTCCGGTACAGCCAAGGCACCTTGTGGTGCAGCAAGTGCCACACGAAGAACTCGGCATCAAAGAGCAGCAGGCACAACGCGACCTGGTACACCAGCTGGAGCAGCTCGGGGGCTTCGCGCGGAGGGAGAGCCGCGCCACTGGCCCAGTGCAGCAGCGTCGCGGGAAACACGTACACCAAGTGCTGGTAGAGCGTCTGTCCCAGGCAGGGCAGCAGCTGCCGCGCGGTTGGCGAGAAGTCGGGCTGGATCTTGTAGCACCGCAGCGCGGGCACCCAGGGGCACAGGACGTCCAGCATCGCGAAGGGCAGGCAGAACCCCAGGTACACGGTGATGGAGAAGATGGCTGGGAAGAAGGGCGACTGGGTGAAGGCCTCCTGTGTCCTCAGGCGGTCCCAGACCGGCTGCAGAAACAACTGGCCGGAGCTACACAGGACTTGGGACTCGGAAGTGTTGAGGACGTTCATGGCGAGGCTGTTCACCGCAGCCCCGGCAGAGGCTCGCGCCCCACAGGCTTTATTCGGGACTTGGCCCCGCCCTGGATGACGCCAGCGGCCTTTTGGCTCCCTTTGCCGGCTGCGCTGGGCGTGCAGAAACGAATAGTCTCGCCGGGGTGCGTTTAGTTGCTAAAATACACGTCTGCAGCTACATTTAATGGGCTTTTATATGGGCGACGGGAGTGGCACTTAGTAACTTCATTCACATGTGGAATTATGTTCTACTTTTTAAAATTGATGTACAATTTGCAAACGATAAAGTGCATACATCTTTAGAGTTTTTACGAGTTTGGACAGCTCTACCCACCCGTGTCATCACCACCCCCAAACAAGATCGAGAATATTTCCTCACCATCAGAAAGGTCTCCTTTCAATCAGAATTACTTGTCCTTTTAAATGCACACATACAATTCCGTCTATGCGTATTCAGAAAAACACGAGTATAACTGCATCTTCAAAAACTTTAAAGTGATGTAACTTTAGTATTTCGGATCTTTTCTGTCTGCACACCTTGTATGCCTTTAACCAGCTGCGAGGCGCAAACTAACCTTTCTCAGAGGGGGGCCCCGGCCACGCGCCGCTGCGATCAGCGCAGGAAATCAGAGGAGACCGGGGTGGCGGGACGGAACCTCTCCAGTTCCAGTCTCCGGGGGCGGGGATCTGTCCCCGCAGGCTCCCCGCAAGCTCCAGATCTCACGACACAGAGACCCGCCCCGGGAGTCAGCAAACCCGTGCCACCCACCGTCCCTCCGTGGCTCTGTCAAGCGCGAAGAGTAGCGACAAGAACTGCGAGAGTCCGGGGCAAAAGAGGGGACTGCTGACTATTAGGCTTCGCTCTAGCAACAACAACAAAAAGTTCTGGTTTTAACATCTAGAGTCGACCCATATCTGGCTAAAAAGGCGCTGCGTCTCAGGAAGAAATGAAATCAGTAAAGCGCCTACTGTGTTCCTTAAGGGGACATATGCGTGATCCTGAAGCCTCGTAGAGCTGTGGGTTGGAGACACGACGTCGCACTTACCCTGCCCTCCCCTGGGGTGGCTTCGCGGCGCCAACTTGCCCTTGGAATACGCCCCTTATTCCCCCAAACCATCTCAGGCTCAGAGCCAAACTGCAAGGCCAGCTCTATCCCTGCGTTTCTCTGCCATCTGAGTGGGGTTGACAGACGGGGACTGAACGTGAGAAGGTCGGTACTAGGAGAGCTCTGCGGAGACCCCCAGACCTGCCGAAGGGGAGGGGGTGGAAAGCCAGCTGCTCTTTGGACCCGGATGGCTAATACACAACGCAAGGAACACCTGGAGAATAGGTTGAGACAAAAACTCTGAAGCCAGGGACACGGGCTTTGCCTCTTGTGTCTGTGAGGTTGGAGCCAACACTTTACCCCTCCAAACTCCCCACCCCCAGGGAAATCAATAACAGTAGCTATCTCATGAGTCTATTTCGAGCATCAAATAAGAAATTTAAAATAATACTAAGGCTACCACGTGATATCTTTGAGGCATTAGCTAAATGTTTTACTTGATGCAATTTCACCCAATCTGTGGAAGTTGTCATTGTTACTATAGCTGCGATGCTATAGGAATAAAAAAACAGTGCCTGGTGCACAGTAAACATACAAAATAAGACACATTATTTCAAATTCATACTTCACATTTTATATAAAGAATAATGGAGAAAGTTTGCAATTAAAGTCAAATAAAATACTGTAAAGAGAAGTAAAAGATAGAAAGTCATATATTGTGAGGAAAGAATAAGTAAAATGAAAATATAGACCAACATCTCGGCCTAGAAATATAATAATATAGAGGATAGGTACACATCCTAGTACATGTATATACTAGGTATACACAGGGTATATAATAATATTCATAATATATAATTATATTTTAATATATAATAGCATATAAGATATCTATGGGAATATATGGATATATGTTACACACACACACACACAGTTCATAATTCAGAAACTCCCAACTAGTGTGTTTCCCAGAACTGCCACTGATGGGTTATGGATATTCTTTAGATGCCCATTCTCTGAACCCGAAGCAGACTTGGGGTTCTGAACCTACAGCAGACTTAAAAAAGAAACACACCTCAGTGTGTCCTAAGATTATTTTGGTATTCTGCTTGTGTCTTGAAGAGATAAAGTTTTGGAAGCAGCTTTGAGCAGCAAACTGACAAATATCAAAAAGGGAAGACAGTGGAGTTTTCTCACAGTTTGGGTATCTGGATGGGAGCAGAGACAGGTACAATGCAGGCCCTTGGCCTCCTGCTTGTGGGGTTTTTCCAGGTTAGAAAACCCATTGTTCCTAGTCTCTCCTTCAGCCTCCCCCCTCCTCCAATTCACTTTTAGTGCAACCCAGGAACATTCGTCTTTTTCCATTCCTGGCAGATATCACCCTGTGCTTGAATTTTGTATTGCCCAAGCAGCACCTCAGAGACAAGAGGAAGAGTTTCTTCTCCTTTGCTCCTTTCTGTATAATTTAAAAATAAAAATAAAAAGGTTTATTTGAGAATGACCTTGCACTATTGAATGGAGCATATGCCATTTACTAAGTCTTCATTCTTGAGCTCCTCTGTGCTCCAAAGGGACCATCAAAGCTCCCTTTCTCAGACTTAAATTGAACTCTGCTCAGAGGTAAAACATCACTCAGATTTGCCCTCAACAGAAACTAAGTCAACCTTCAAATTTCTGTCCAGCACATGCTGTCCTTTTTGTGTGGTCTCAGCTATCATGCATGCTTGCTTTGGATGCTCTCACAGACTTTTTTAAGTGGGTGGAATTGGCAGGTTTGCTTAATTTGGACTTAGCTATTAGATTGTTGTTAGGACTGCCGCCTGTGAGCTCCCAGCCCCAACCAACCTATTCTTTTCCTTCTTTGCTTCTTCCATCCTCTGTAGCTAAGCCTGTTAGAATCTTCCCCATAAAGCCCTACGCAGAAAGACCTGGGAGCCATGGCTTCAGCATGGTTCGCCCAAGCCCTCCCTCTTACTCTCAGCACATTGGAGAAAAGCCACCAGCTTCTCTGCCTCTCCAACACATGCAGCCAGCCACCAGGACAAAAGTTTGTGTCCAATGTATGAGTTCAACCATCTCAGGGCAAGTGGTCAGTTAAAATCGGATCAGCTGTCCACAGTGTTATAGAGGGTGCTGAAAAAGTAGGTGCAAGTTGTTGGGTGACTCAAAATGGCATCACTTAATAGAACCAAATAAAATTGAACCCTGTTTATTTTTATTTTTTTAACTTTATTTATTGATTTTTAGAGGGACAGAGAGAGAGAAACATCAATGTGTTGTTCCACCTATTTATACATTCATTGGTTGATTCTCATATGTGCCCAAACCGAGGACTGAACACACAGCCTTGGTATACTGAGATGACTGAGATCCCAGAAAAGGCAGATTGAACCCTATTTAGTCTTGACTGAAGTTTTGTCATTTCTTGAATTGGCAAACGTGCACCTTTAAACATTTTTAATTTACACAAAATTGATTTAACAGCTTGCTAGATGAACAGGTCTTTTTAGGGTACAGACTCTATCATCTAGAATTTTTTCCCCACAGTGCCAAGCAATATATTTTGTACCTAATGAATGTTCAAAAGTTATTTGTGGTCTTAATGTACATTGTAAAAGATATTGGCTATAAATTGAGGCTAAAAAAATGGAACCTCTTTTTTGAGCACTGGTTATGTCCCCTGGAATGGTTTTTCATAAAGGGGGCATTTAAATATGTCTTATGGCATTACCTATGACATAATCTCTTTTTTGTGTGACCTTCATGGTTGTTTCTTTCCAAAGTGAGGTGACACTATCAGCATCTATCTAGCCAAAACAACCATTCCTGAATATCAAAGATGAGAAGTGTTGTGACATCTTGCAATTGTAACACATTGAGACTCAGAGAGGGGAAAATGTAGCCCCTGGTTGTAAACATGAAAACAGCCTCAGAAAAGACTAGCCAGGGTCAAACAGCAAGTTATAGCTAAAACAAGAGCAAACCTGGTCAGAGTCAACTTGAAGATAGATGCCTCCAGATCAGAAGGGTTTTTGGATGGGGCATTGAAGCTGCATCTATAGGACAGTTTACAAGACTCAGGAAACATGAAGTGTCCCTGGGCAAGCAGAGTGCTGATGAAGGATGTGACCTGATGCTGATGCACATTTGGTTGTAAACACTTGCTCTTTATAATTTTGATCCATCTGGGTGATCTGTATGTGGGTGCTCCTACTAACATTACTGGAACTCTCACCAACTCCTCTAAAATATTTAAAGCATATAAGGTCACTCCCATTAAGAGGCATAATATTACCTGTAAGGCAGAGAAAATACTCACCTCACCTGTCAAAAGGGTTGTTGGGAAGATCAAAGCCCTTATGAGGACGCTTTAAAAACCCAGAAGGCACAATGTAAATATAAAGTATTTGTGTTAGTACTACTATTTAAAATATGTGTACAGATAAATAATTTTCTGCTTAGTTTGGAACTGAACTTGAAATCTGCACCTAGAATAATACAATAAATATTCTTGAATGAATTGCTGACAATTTTTTTAAAAGATTTATTTATTTATTTTTAGAGAGGAAAGGGAGGGAGAAAGAGAGAGAGAAACATCAATGTGTGATTGCTGGGGGCCGTGGCCTGCAACCCTGGCATGTGCCCTGGCTAGGAATCGAACCTGCGATACTTTGGTTTGCAGCCTGCGCTCAATCCACTGACCTACGCCAGCCAGGGCTGCTGACAAATTTTTTAAATCAGAATTATTACAACCTGGTGTTGCCTTCCAGGGGTCACATTTTGAAAATTTCTCCATACATTCAAAACTAAATGGCAAGAGTTAAAATTACAGTGTATTTTAAATGTTTACATGGAACAAATTAAGACTTTTAATACCCACAAGAACAAAATGTTATTATTTGGAAATAATATCAACAATTTTGGACCTTTGTGAATCCTAAGGTTAAAGACATTTCCATTTCCTCCCCCATGTCTGAGGTTCTGACCACTCTATTAGGCAAATTTTTATTTTCGTGTCACTTTTGAAGAGAGTCATTCTTTGAGAATATTTTTCAGATGATATGCATCAGACAGAATTAATCAGAATCCGAGAAATGACCACAGATGTGGTGGATCTTATCAGTCCTCAAATTACAAACTGGTTCATAAATCAACAATAGTTCTCTGCCTCTCCCAGAGGGACTAGAGAAAGCCTCCTCCAGAAAAGGTTTGGAAGTAAAGCCACGAGTGCCCTCCTATGGCGAATTTAAGAAAGTAACCAATTAATTGTGTTCTCAATTGTGACTTCATTTGGTGGCTTTGCCTGCATAAACACAGAACCTCAGAATTCCAAGTTGGCAAATACAAACTAGTCTTTTCCTTGCTGTGGGGTCTGTGGACACCTTTGGGATATGCTCAATAGAACATATATCAAATGCAGTTGATAAGAACAGTCAGAACTCCTACAAACTTGCTACCATGCTTCTTGAGGTGCAAACTCCAACCTTGCTCTGCACTCTCAGCCAAAGATGAAACAAAACTACATTGAAGGCAGCCCAGGTTATAAAAGTCCTATAAAGAGCCTATGCAGCTGTGTCAAGAGCAAGAGGCCACTAACGAAGCCCAGTGTACATGTAACCCAACTGCAACAAGAAGGGCTGTGCCACATTGCCACCTCCAGACTGATCCACATGCTGAAGAAAAATCCCTAGAGATTTGGAAAGGAGGGGAAAGAAAAAACCCTCCAAAAGGGGTGTGCTCTGTAGAATGAAGATGCTACTCATCACTATGGTCTGCTGTGTTGGCGTTTTCATGACCACAGGTTTTCCAGGGCATCTATCAGAGCCTCTGTGGCAGCCACCTGAGAAACCAACTCACCTGTGGCACTGAAGCCACTCTCCAGCGAGCTCTGCCCTACCACTGGTGTAAAACAACAAAACGCCTGCTCACTGTCTCTATCCTTCCACCCTAGCCAAGAATCTTGTGCCTGGTTGGCCAAACCAGTTTGCCTTGATCGAAGGAGAAAGAAGTGTTCTTTTTGGGGGGGACATTAGGCCAGCGAGGAGAGGAGTGGCATCCTCCCAAGGATGTACATCCTTTGCGTCTGGTACAGTTCTGCTCTTTTCTGTACTTGCCAAGAAAACACAGATTCCACTGCAGTCCTATGCAGTCCCAGATGTTACATGTGCATCTCACTCTATTTCGCTGACTAAGCCCACCATTTTTCACACATTTTCTCTGTCCACACATTGACTGAGTCACTATAGTCTAGGCTGTGTATAAGATTTTGGGTAAGATATCTTCCGGTCTCAGCTCACAGAGTAGCAGGACAAATCACACCAGTCCCACAAATCAAAGTGTCAGCCCCTCTGACATATTTGTCTCGGCCAACTTCTGTTGCTTCATTTGTTCATGGAGGAAGTTGGATGGACAGTCCTTGAATCCATGGTCCTGCCTGTAACAGGCCACTGCCTGCAACAGGCCACTGCCTGCAAGTGGGGTCAGTCACCGCTGAGCCTCCCCCCTGCCTCATTTGGTGGACCCTGCAGGATGCTGCTGAAGGCCAGTGCTTCCAAACTATCCCCAGTGCTCCCTGGGTTTGAGACCACTCTCTGCTCCCCACTGGAGAGGATCAGACATTCACAGGCGGTATCAGTGAGGTTCACCAGGAGTCAGGAAGAGGGAGAAAAGATGAGAAGGAAAAGCATAAGTGTCACCAAAAGAGAAAGGGAAGTAGAAAATGGCTACTAAATAAAGAACACACTAACACACAACCCTTCAAGCTTATGAGCCTCATGGAGTTTTATTGAAAGTTCAAATGTGGCTGTTTACATGTTATAAAGCAGTTATTATGCTGTCTCCACATATTAGAGAATACCAATTATTGTTTATTATTGCAGCCTAACCATATCAGAACCATTGCAGCTTCCGGACACAGGGGTGCACATCAGGGGTAGTGAAAATATGTGCACATATAAAACTAAAACACAAAGTGATTCCCGAGCTTTAATCTTACCACGTTCACATTTCTTTCTAATGAAAATGGGTTAGGGCACTCCTCAGGGGCAGCCTCGGGGCTTCCGCTTCACACACGGCCACCCGAGCTACATCAGCTGGTAAAGACAGTACATTGATTTCAGGAAAAACAATGGCATCATCTCTCCACAACACTTTTCTTCTCAAAGCAGGGATTTATGGCATGACTCACAATTCAAGGTTCATGAACATACATGGTTGTGTGTATCAGTCTTCAAGTATTGAACATCAGCTGTTGTTTCTTAATGAGTGGAATTTGTTTTTGAGGACTGCAGCAAACTAATTTGCTTCATCTGAGCAATGTAAACTCTTGGTAAATAACAGCTATCACAGATGAGACTTGATAAAACTCATTATAGAATCTTTATAACTGACATGGCTGGAGTGTCACTGGATTTGACTCGGCACCTACCTCATGACGATATGACAGAGAGTCCTTAGATCCCCAAACACAGGGCCGTTCCACTGGACAGCCTCTCTGGCCCCAGTGATGAGAACTGGGTGCTTATGCACCAAGCTTCCCTCAAGGCGGTCTCAGGTTATTTACCAAAGAATGGCTCAGTCTAAAAGTTCCAACACAGGGGTCAGTGTGTGCTGTGTGTGGGTACAAAAAGAAATACAGTGCATTTGACCCTGTGTGGACAAGCAGAATGGTCATGACCTTTCACATGTCAGTGATATTTTAGAAGACTTAAAGAAACTACCCTGTGGTTGAAACACAAGCTGCATATTTGGTCATGATTAAACAACAACAAAAAAGCGAGTACATTTCTAACCCTAACTGGAGAGACTTAGGTTATCTTCAACATCATAATTTTCTTGGATATACAACTATAAAAGGGCTGGGAAAGGAAAATAAGGACTTTAGAAAAATGGAGCCAAGACATTTTGGACATGCTTCGATCACAGACTTGATGATGGTGAATGTGTCCACCTGGCCTTCACTAATACTTCCTCATGAAGTTCACCACCTCCTTATAGAGCCGCCAAGGGGCATCCAAGCCCCAGATAAAGTCCAGATGTTCCCACCCTTCAATGCACTCATGGTACACCAAGTTGGGGATCTGGGTCAGTAAGGCATTGACGTCGATGACGTCCGCGAGCCAGTCCTTGTCCCCGCTCCACACAGCAGTCGGCACAGGCATGTCTCTCACGTTGTAAGCAGGAGGGGAAGTCTGTAAGAAAAACCCACAGAGCACTTTGTGGTGGTTGTTTTAACTTACAAAAGCACAATCAACAGTCTCCATTAAACACTGAGTAGTTCATTGAGAATAAACTAAATTTTGAAAACTGTTCTCAGTTTACTTTTCATATCACTTTACCAGAACAAAAAGAAACCTAACCCACAATGAAAGAACAGTTACGATAGTAACGTGGTGGGCTTGGTAACAAGTGTTTAAATCCCCTGGAAGGAAGCTGTACTCCCAGGTGGTCAGTGCGAACCCACAGAACCAAGCAGTTGGGAAGGGGCTGTGGATCCACATCTTCCTCCTTTCCCTCCCTCTGGGGAATGGCACAAGGCACAGAAGGTCTCTAAGCTTCAGTTTCTTCATGTTTGATCATCATCATCATCACAGGGAAGTTGTAAAAATTAAATAAAATATGGCAAAGTGCCTTACACTTTAGAATACTTAGCACTCAAAAATGGTAAATTTCTTGGTATATGGAAGAAAAGGCTTAGGCGATGTAATCTGGCCAAGGCCCTCCAGCTACAGATGACAGACCTAGTTTTGTCTGATTCTAAAGTCTGTGTTCCCGATCACTGTGAGTCACATGGAACAGTGATGGTGACAGCTGGTCCACAGGGCCAAGGACAGAACAAAGAGGGAAGGCCTGGACCACAACACCGACCACCAAATTCAGATTGTTCTGGAACTGAATGCTATCTGCCCAGCTCTCCCAAGCCTTCCCATACACCCAAGCCCTGGCAGCGTCCCGACAACAACTTCCTTGATGCATCTCCAGGACCCATGATCTCTAAAGACTTTCAAGACTTACCTGGTTGTAATGAAAATAGTTCTTGTCCTCGCTCCCCCAGTCAAAGGCTTGAAACTTTTGTGATTTTATAATCTAAAGAGAAGATAATTTGGAAAAAAAGTTATCTGGCACAGATGTGTGAGATAACTTCACAGGTTGCTAGAATCAGCCACGTCTGCAGAACCAATCCTACACCAATATTCAGACTTACTCTTCACTTCCAAACTGTAATTTAAAGTAAATGGCATTATTTTGCTCTCCTTTACTAAATGACTCAATTTCCCACTGTAGGACTGGAAAGCAGCTACTGCATGACCCGATAAAGCAGCTATACACATGCTGTGAATGATACAGGACGGGGTGAAAGCAGGCACAGTTGTGAGTGAGCAAAACACAGAGTTCCCTTCTTGTGTTATTACTTATTAATTACTGTGTTGTTTTCCATATGAACAACTGTAAACCTACTTTTTCCTCACCCTGTATTAGATCAATGGTTACGCACATTGGATAAACTTTATGCTAACACTTTTTACTGAAATGTCAGTCTTAAGCTTTTTAAAGCGTTAACTATCTTATTTGGGAAAGATCTATATCATACATAATATATAGGTTAATATATATTTATGTGGATTAATAGATATTTATATGGGTTAATAAAAATTTATATTTGAATATAAATATTAATTATATATCACATATTTGTATGGCTTAATATAACCATTGTATATCTATATGTGGATTAACACAGTTATATATACTTATATATAATCTCTATATTTTCTATGTATCTACTCTACTTGATTACTTACATTATTCTATATTTTAATGATTTTATTGATTTGGCACTTTTTCTTGAGTACCAGTATCAGCATAACCACCCAATTGCATGGCACACCAGCACAAATCTGACTAGTTGGGGACAGCAGTCATGAAATAATATTGTACATAAAATTTAAATTTATGCATATATAGTGTAATATAAAAGTGTTAGCAAAAGTCACTTATTTTTTTAATTTTAAGTAATGTACATTCATACTTCCTCTATACCCACAAATTAAAACTGTCAAGAATTAAATCCAAAATTGGCAAGCCAAGTGAATTAGAAACTGTTCAAACTTTGGCCAGGGGATGGTGTCTGGTAAAGAGGAAAAACCTAGACATTCTTTGTCTTGACTGCTTTTGGTTTGTCTGAGGTTTCAATTCTTATCAATCGCATAAAACTCTACTGTTTGATATAACAGAAGACAGTATGAGATTAGAAACTACAGGCATTTCTGCAGGAGAAATGCTAACATCTGCTTTTGCCATCGCAAATGATGAATTTTTAAATGCGTCTGGCAGGTCCCATGAGCTTGCGTATCTGCAGCATCTGTCAGCGCGTCTGTGCTGCAGCTCTAGCTGTCTGTGAGAAAACAGCCATGCAAGCTGCTCTGCCACCATAGACCATTTACCACCTGAAACTTCCTCACAGGATCTTTCAGCACTGATTAAAGCACCCGGTGTGAGCAAGGAAGACACTGGGAAAACCTGCCTAGGGCTCAGGCTGAACTTCTAAACTTGACTTTTGTGCTCACAGTCATCGCCACTTGAAAGGGAGTCTCAGAAGGAGGGAAATGTGAAGAGGAATATTTACAGACACAGAAACAGGGAAATAAATAAGTTAAGTCCCACAGTAGATGTTCAGTTAAATGCATCGTGTTACCTCAATATGTTGCAACAGTATGCCACTTTCATAAATATAAATATAATAATATAGAAAGAGAAATATGGCTCTGGCAAGATGGAAGCATAGGTGGACACACCGTACCTCCACGCACAACCAAGATTAGAACAACAACAATTTAGAGGCAGAGTAACACCCAAAACTGATAGAGAATTTATCTAAATGGAAGTCGGTCAGCCAATAAGTTGAAGTAGACCGGTTCAACCAGACCAGTAGGAGGGGCAGAGAGGAGCAGCCAGGCGCTGGTCTCAGAGCCCAGAGAACAGGGAGAGTTGGGCGCATAAGGCAACCGGGAGCATATAAGGCATCTAGGGCGCACAAGATCGCAGCGGGTGGATCCTGAGTACACAAGCAGCAGCTGGCAGACCCAGTGAGGTGGCGATTGTGGACCAGGGCAGAGTGCACAACCCAGGATCCCAGAGAAGGGACTGAGGTCCCAAAAGAACGGAGCTACCACCATTGTTCCCTCCCGCCCCCGCCCCCACATACAATGTCACAATCTAGCAACTGGGGTGCCCAGCCCCAGTGAACACCTAAGGCTCTGCCCCTCACCATAACAGGAGCTATCAGACCAAAAAAAAAAAAAAAAAGAAAGAAAGAGAGAGAGAGAGGGGCATGTCTCAAACAGAAGAACAGATCAATGCCCCGGGACTCATCCTTTTGAGCAACCAAGAGATAGCCAATCTATCAGATGCATAGTTCAAAACACCGGTGATCAGGAAGCTCACAGAATTGGTTGATTTTGGGTGCAAATTAGATGAAAAAATGCAGGTTACCATAAAAGAGATGAAGGAAGATGCATGGAGAACCAATAGTGATGGGAAGGAAACTGGGACTCGAAACAATAGAGTGGACCAGAAAGAAGAAAAAAACAACCAAACAGGAAAGAATGGAGAAATAAGAATTCAAAAAAATGAGGAGAAGCTTAGAAACCTCCAGGACATCTTTAAACATTCCAACATCTGAATTATAGTGGTACCAGAAGGGGAAGAGGAAAAGCAACAGATTGAACACGTATTTGAACAAATAATAAAGGAGAACTTCCCCATTCTGGCAAAAGAAATAGACTTCCAAGAAGTCCAGGAAGCTCAGAGAGCCCCAAAGAAGTTGGACCCAAGAAGAAACACACCAAGGCACATCATAATTACATTAGCCAAGGTAAAAATGGAGAGAATCCTAGAAGCAGCAAGAGATAAGGGGACAGTCACCTACGAAGGAGTTCCCATCAGACTGTCAGCTGATTTCTCAAAGGAGACCTTACAGGCAAGAAGGGGCTGGAAAGAAATATTCCAAGTCATGAAAGACAAGGACCTATATCCCAAATTACTCTATCCAGGAAAGCTTTCATTTAGAATGGAAGGGCAGATAAAGTGCTTCTCAGATAAAGTCAAGTTAAAGGAGTTCATCATCACCAAGCCCTTATTTTATGAAATGTTAAAGGGACTTATCTAAGAAAAGAAGATTAAAAAAAAAAACATGTATAGTCAAAGGACAGCAAACTCACAATTATTAACAACCACACCTAAAGCAAAACCAAAAGAAACTAAGCAAACAACTAGAACAGGAACAGAACCACAGAAATGGAGATCATGTGGAGGGTTAGCAACAGGGGAGTGGGAGGAGGAGAGAGGGGGAAAAGGTATAGAGAATAAGTAGTATAGATTGTAGCTTGGAAATAGACAGGGGGAGGGTAAGAATAGTATGAGAAATGTAGAAACTAAAGAACTTTTAAGTATGACACATGGACATGACTAAAGCGGGGGATATGGGAAGGAGAGGGTGTACAGGGTGGAGGGGAGGGAAGAGGGGAAAATGGGACAACCGTAATAGCATAATCAATAAAATATATTTAAAAAAAAGAAAGAGAAATATGGATAATGTTTATAAATAACATTGAGTGGGGGAAAAGAAAATGAAAATGAACAAGTGCCTTGGTTACACTTATATGACAAGTATATGTGGCCAAAGATCAGGAGGAAATACTCATAACATTAAGCTATAGGATAGATGGGTTTTTAGGTGACTTTTTAAAAGTTATTTTTACATTTTGAATAGTAATAAAAATGTCAATAGGTTCAACTTTTCTAAAGTACAATACATATTGTCTTAAAGATATGCCCACCCTCTGGCCTCTAAGTCTACTTCTACAACTAGACCCTAAAAAAATAATCTAATGTATAAAGAGAGTTCTTTAATTCAAGAATATTCTTCCCAGAATGTTTACTATTGCAAAATAAGGCTATCATAGCAAAAATAATAGTAATGGTAATAATTATACCATTAATAATAATAATTCAAGTAAAGGAAAACTGTCCTCAGTTACAAATATTTAAAATCATTGACCTGAACGGGCATTTTTGATTACAGCAGAGACCGCTAATGGCCCATTCTTGTCCTCTTCCTTAATCCCCGAAGCTTTCGCTCAGCACATGGCCACCAGGGCAGGCACCACATCCCGTGCGGGCTTCCTTCTTGTGGCGGGAACACACATGGAGACCACCCGGCTTCCCTCAGACAGAAGAAGACCGCAGCCAGTAATGGCAGAGCTGCAGTGCGAAGGGAACCAGGATCCCGCGTGACCCCCGGGAGCACTGCCACACCCCCTCCACCGCACACCTGTGCCACTGATGTCTGGACTGCATCATGAGAAAGACAAACTATTCACAAGCTGTGTTTTGGCATCTCTGATTCAGCAACTTAGTAAATATAATGCTATTTAACTAAAAATTTTTTAAGTTACCTAAACGTGCACATAGTAGGATAGTACTTTTGTAATGAAAACAATTACACCAAAAAAATGTAAGCTGACACTGAGAGAGTTCACAACATGCCACCAAAAATATGCTGCTTTGGCCATTTTAATTACTGACTTAAAGGAACTTGCAAAATGGCAGATTCAAGGAAGGTACTCTGGCCTTCCTTTGTCTTTCTAAAAGCGAGATATAAAATTCCCAAGTGAAAAAAGGCCATCCATCCCTGGACCAGAAGGGAGAACTGTTCTTGTCACCAGAGACAGGGGGAGGCCTAGAGAAACTGTACAAAAAGACCTGGTTAAAATAACTCTTATCTCCTTATCTCTAGTCTCTCCTATTTATTTTAGTAATTTTTTACAGTTGTTACTCTTTGTTCAACCTAGTACATAAGCACTTAGGCCTAGGCACTTCTTGAGTCTTCATTTTTCTTGTGAGAGCTCTTATGCATACGTAAATAAAATTCATGTGTCTTTCTCCTGTTCATGTCTTAGGTCGGTCCCAGACAGAAAGCTTAAGAGGGGAAAGGGAAATTTTAGCCTCCTCTACAATACCAACACACGAACAGTAGTTATCCCTGGTGGTGGAAACATGGGTGCTTTATTTTCTTCTCTGTATTCACATATACTTTTAAACTTCATAATGAACACATATTACATGTATAATAAAAATTATGCTAAACGTTGTTTTATAATGTTTTCAAGAGCCTACCTGATGCACATATTTTTAGGTTATTAGTAGGTTTCAAACAACAGAAGATCAGAATCGTATCAGGAACTACTTAAAATGCAGATTACAGAAACATAACTCCAGGAATTTGAATTCTCAAGAGGTCATGGGCAGACCCAAGAACCTGGATTTTGTACAGCATCCTAAGTATTTCTGAACAAACCTGAAGAGACAGGTTGGGACCGGCCTTCTTCCAACATCAGTGAGCGCTGGGGCTCTGGACTCTGGAGGCAGGGAGCAGGGGACTAAAGGAGGTGTGGCTCTGGGGGGGCGGGGCTCTAAAACTTGCCAGGTTTAGAAATTGAATAAGGTTTGTAAACTAAATTTAAAAGCCCAGTAGAGAACTAGGTTTTGGACTGTCTACCCACTATGCTATACATCTGAAACAAATACAAAATAAAACTGAGTGTATAGTGTAATTGAAATAAGTTTTTAATTTAAGAAGAGTAGGAAACCAAAAAAAAAACAAAACATGTACAGAATAACAAGTAAAAAGTAAAAACTAGGTTTTGGCCCTGGCTGGTGTGGCTCAGTGGATTGAGTGTGGGCCTGCTAACCAAAATCTCCCTGGTTCAATACCCAATCAGGGCACATGCCTGGGTGGTGGGCCAGGTCCCCAGTGAGGGGCATGTGAGAGCCAACCACACATTGATGTTACTCTCCCTTTTTTTCTCCCTCCCTTCCCCTCTCTCTAAAAATAAATAAATAAAATCTTAAAAAACAACAACGCTGCTTTTGGAACTGTTTAAAAAAACAGAATTGTAACTACTTAAACAAACAGTAAATTTCTGAATGTACTATGAATTAAATGGCCTGAAAAAGCACCTCCAAACTACCACAGGAACCCCAAACGTCACAGCTGAACTGCAGCCCTTAGCCTGCCAGCACACAGAAGGCACTCCTTCAGCAGCAGCCTCTCTCAGCAGGCACCACGGCACCCTTGACCAGTGAGTTGTTGACAGGGAGAGGGGCAGCCCCTGGCCACCAGCCCAGAGGAGAGAGAATCAAGGAGAAGGCTCTATGAGACAGCTGCATGAAACAACCTTTCTCAACAAAGAGATAGCACAGGGGAAAGAGGGCAAAGGGTGAGACTGCCTCCCGCAGTGAATCTGGATTTGGGAAACATTCCTGAGGCACATTCCAATGTGGTTAGAACCTAAAACCACAATGGGGCCCCAGAGCAGTGCTCTGAACCTCAGCCTGCAGCCCCTGACCTTGGCCAGCTGCTAGATTAAAGGGGCTGGGCCACGAACAGAAGCCTGGGTTGCAGCCAGCCCAAGAGCTCTTGTGCACACCCGGCGCAGTGGAGGCCTGCCACACAGCAGGGTGAGGGGGCACTTCTGTACATGCAACAGCATGCTCTGGCAGTCTTGGCTGCCACATTCCCAAAGTGCCCTGACAGGTGGGGTCTGGCGGTCATTTGCGTGTTGCTGAGGCATGTGGCACAGCACTCATGGGCTGCAGTGGTCACTTAGCTACATAGTTCAGCATCTGCCTTCCTCCTGGCCAGTCATCCTCCCTACAAAAGTGCACTAATTCCTGAGGCAACAGAAACTGGACCATTAAAAACAATGTCCACTAGGTAAGAGGGTAAAAAGTGTTCCAAAAGGTAGGGGCACCATGGTGATAGGGCACACAAAGAAATCAAGTGCCCATAAACAGAAATGGGGCTGAGGAGAAAAGCAGGAGGCCTGAGTGAACGATTGTGATGTGAGAACTTCTCAAGGTTTCGGGACATTCCTTAAGAGGTAAGGGATGCTCTTCAGCATATCAACTACCTGTGTTCCCGGAGCCCCTCATCTAAGCCACAGGAAACTGGCACTGCATCACTGACATTTAACACGGGGCCTTACTGTCACCAGGAGGGGTCAAAAGCCTCAGGCACAGTCCTGCCTGGTTTCTGAGGGACCAGCCCAGGGAGAGGTGACCTACAGCACTCCCACCTGATGAAGGTCGTGAAGCCACTCAGCAGCAAAGGAGTGAACTGCTGACACACCTGACAACAGGTACGAATCTCAGAACAGTTATGCTGAGTGGGAGAAGTCACACAAAGCACGTAGATACTGTATTACTGTGGTTATACAAAACTCTAGAAAATGCAAACTAATCTATAATGAAAGAGCAGATGGGTGGTGGTTTGGGGACAGAGGTGAAAAGGGTGAAGAGGGGGGTGTACAAAGGGGGCAGGAGAAAACCTTCGGGGGATAGGTTCACTCTCTTGATCGTGGTGATGGTTTCATGGGTATATATCCATGTCAAAGCACGCTAAATTGAACACTTTAAATATTGTATGCTCTGCCACTTACACTTCCAGAAATCTGTTTTTTAAAAAAATTAAAAGGAGATTCTACAGTCTAAATGAATTAGGACCTCTAGGGATGGGGCACAAGAGCCTTTGCTTTTAAAGACTGGGATTGTAGCTAATCCAACAGCTCTGCCAGCAATTCAACTCTCCTTGGGACAGTCTAAGCCTCTCTCAGATGCGTGGGAATGTCCTTCAGTTTTTTTTTATTTTAATCCTCCCCCTAGGATATGTTTATTGATTTTAGGGGTGGGGAGAGAGTGAGAGAAACGTTGATTGGTCACCCCACCCTTGCACATGTCCCCACTGGTGATGGGACACACAACCCAGGTATGTGCCTTGACCAGAAATCGAACCCTCAACCCTTTGGTGTATGGGATGATGCCCCAACCAAATGAGCCACCTGGCCAAGGGCCAATTACTTCTAGAGCCTCTCCTAGATAAGATTAAGGTTTCACTTGAGTACTCAATGCTGCCAGCCCAGGGAGAACCTGGAGGACAAGAGATACACTCTGCTCACCTGCATGAAGAAGGGAAAAAGAAGAAACCCTGTGCTCTAAGAGCCAGACCCTGGAGGCGGTTCCGGAGCCACACTGTCTACCAGTGCGGGTGCCCTTGATGCACCAGGCTCCCTCCTTCCACCTTTTCCTCTCAGCCCATTTTCAGTAAACCTCTTTTCTTCTCAGTCTGTTTTGCCTTATATCTTGATTTCCCTGGGGCCAGCGGGGGCTGGGGGAGGAGGCATGGCAAGAACCCCCTTACTGTTCTTAAACAATATTTTCTTAAAGGTATACTTTTCAAGTAATTCTGACGATTCTGATGCAGGCAGTGACTGCCCAATGTTTGGAAATTACTACACAAGACACCCACTGCATCTTCGTTTGAAACTCAAAAGGTAAGTAATTTCTATGTAAAAATTTAGGGGAGGGGAATTGTACAAAAATAGGTTCTGAGGTAAAAAATAAGGTCCTCACATATTGTGAGTTTGTTTTTTTAAAGGCAAGTTACAAAAGAGTAAGAGAAGGTAAATTAATATATTTCTACTGCACAACTGTTATTTCTATCTGTACCTGTAACCACTGCCTCCTGAAATGACATGCAGCAGGAGGTGCAGGCCAGGACAGAGACATTTCAAACCTCCGGGTATACATTTTCCCTCTCTGTGTACAATTATAGGATAATTCTATTTTTTAATCTTTAGTGAATTTTATTATTTGTTGCCTATGTATAATTTCTAAATTTTCTAGAATGAGTATGCATTACTCTTGTGATAAGTGATAAAACGATCAAACTCTACTTTAAAAGTTAGTTGCTCCCATTTACCTCCATGAGTGGTTTACCATTGATGTTTTAGCATATTATGTTCACGGGTTGATGCTGAAATAGCAGCTTCTGTTTCCAAAGTGGCTCTAAAAGCTTGTCTTATGGAGCAATACAGAAATAAAATAAATCTGGTGCCCTAGTCAGGTAGCTCAGTTGGTTAGACTATTATCCCCATATGCAAAGGTTGTGGGTTCAATCCCTAGTCAAGGTACATACAAGAGTCAACCAATGAAGGCACAAATAAGTGGAACAACAAATCAATGTTTCTATCTCATGTGTGCCACCCCCACCCCTTCCTCTCTCTCTCTCTCTCTCTCTAAAAAATTTTAAAAAATATATAGATAAATAAGGGACTTAATGCAAAACTGACAGAGGGGAGAGAAGGGGAAAGAAGAAATGAAGTCAACTCCATCAGCTGTTTGGCAAACTCACACATACAGTACAGTTGTACCAGGGAGGAAAACAAAAGCAACACACACACAAACCAGGGATCCACCAAGCGGGGGAAGGACACCAGCTCAGCTTTGTAAGCAGACTGTCTTGCTGTTGGTGAAGGGCTTGCAGGGAGGTGTTTCATGGATGCAGAGATCGTTGTAATGCTGGTTTGACACAAATCCCAAATGCACTGCCGGGATGCCTACCTGGCCCCAATGTAACAAGGTCTGCACAGAAGTCCCGGCAGGAGAGTATGTCATGTACAACGCCACTCTAGACTGGGGAAAAAAGTGTTGAAATAAAGAATCAACGAAATAGTGTTAAGAAAGCATTGATAATAAACAAATTTCATACCTCAAAGCATTGAAAACCACAGAGCCACAATCTCAAACATATGAGATTAAGAGCAAGAAACAATTATTTGACTATAAGTATGTCCTATAACAATAGAAAGAAACACCCTGGCTGGTGTGGTTCAGTGGACTGAGTGACAGACTGCAAAGCAAAGGGCACGTGCTCGGGGTTGCAGGCCAGGTCCCCAGTAGGGGGGTGTGCAAGAGTTTACAAACCACACATTGATGTTTCTCTCCCTCTCTTTCTCCCTGCCTTCCCCTCTCTCTAAAAATAAATAAATAACATACTTTGTTTAAAGTAGGAACAAACCCCTACATGGAGCAACACGGTAACTGGGGACTATATGGGGTGAGATTACTGCCCATTTTTATTTTCTTTATCATGCTTTTCTGAATTTCCAAAATTTTATGCAACAAGTATACCTTACTTTTACCATGAGAAACAAGAAAAATTATCATCGCTTTAAAAAACTACCTAGAACCTTCCAGAACATCAAAACCTGTTTTCAAGAGGCAACATTACACACTACAAGTATATTCAGAAACACCAGCCCATTTTTGGCCAAGGGTTGACAGCTTCTAAAATGAATAAATGAATGACAATTTCAAACTTAAACAATTATAAATATCAAGACCTAAGTGATGGGGACCTCCCCATTCAACAGTGTCCGTGCAGGGACACTCAGAACTGACTGTGCCTGGCCTGAGGACAGCAGCAGACGGTGCTCCAGGCCCTCGCTGAAATCCATTCTTGTGCCTCTTGAGTGAAGGACCCCTCAGAGCTGTAACGAGGGCACTCCTTCCTCTCCAGCATCCTCCCACACAAATGACCGTATTTGCAGATGAAATAAAATCACTGGAAGTTTAAAGCAAGTCTTGTTATGAACATACTTACCATATTTAAGTTTTTCTCATTGAAACCACACGTGAGGAAAAACATATTTCCACAAAGCTCCTTTAAGACAACATGATCGCAAAACTGAACACTCAGCCACTTCAGCAATGTATTCTGGGGAAGAAGTTCCTTCTCTCCAAGTACATCCTGCCAAATAAGAAGAAACCCAAGAATACCTCAGCATTACATCCTGATCCACGGGCGGACCCCCACGACCCACATCCAAAGTGAAGGCATGTACATATGTGCCAAGCATCTCCACAGATGGCCTCAGGACAGAAACGAAAACCAGTGGATGTTCCAACTGCAGTACTTGTGCAATCTGCTTAGTAAGACAACAACAGTTGTTACAGGTGTGTGTTTAATCTTTCAAATGAAGAAAAGGAGGCAGAAAGTCAAGTAATTCACACCAACGTTTACAGTAGGAAAGGGCCTTAGTGGCCGCTCATCCCAGGGCCGTCCCCACAGTGTTTCGCTAAACTCCAGTGGGTGGGCAGGGACCCTGGGAGAGAGTGGAAACAGTGCTTTGCCAGCGGCGTGCCTGCCCAGGGCACACACATCTCATCTGATCTACTGGCCAGTGTGCCGAATCCTGCCCACTGTCTGCTGTTTTCTTTAACACTTTTTTTATTGTGGCTAAAAGCTACCATTTTCACATGTTCCGCTCAGTGGCATTAAGTACAGTCACGTGGTACGACCAGTGCCACATTCCATCTGCAGAACTTTCTCAACATCTGCACCTGAAACCCTGTGCCCATGAAGCAGTAACTCCCCATTCCCCCTCTGCCAGCACGGCCTGCCTTCACAAATAAAGTTTATTGGAGCACAGTCACCTCATTTCTTTGCACATTGTCTCTGCCTGTTTTTGCACTATAGGGGCAGAGACAAGTAGTTGCAGAGACCATGTGGCCCACGAAGCCGAAAGTAGTGACTACCTGGACCTTTACAGAAAAAGTTTGCCAACTGCTGGTCTACATCGGCACTAACCAATGGCCTAGGAACCTGTGCTCAAGTATTTCCGGGATGATCACTGTGGCCTCAAGGCAGATCTCAAAGTACTTCTCCAGCAGGAAATAAGAAAAAGGTCTTCCTTACACTGAACCCACATTTGTCCCCTTATTGCTTACACTTTTCTGCTGCTGCCTACCCTCTGGATGGACAAGCAGGAGTGAAAAATTCAAATGCCAACAGAGGCAGTTTTATGAACTGAACTGTGATCCACCCACCACCACCGAACAGATACATCGAAGTCCTAATCCCCAGCATCTCAGCATGTGGCGTTATTTGGAGACAAGGTCTTCACAGATGGAATCAAGCTAAAATGCAGTTGTTGAGAGTGTACTCTAAGCAATAGGACTTGTGATCTGACAGGAAGGGGAAATTTGGACACAGTGGATACAGGGACAGACACAGAAGGAGGTCTGAACAGACACAGGGAAAACGCCAAGTGAGGATAAAAGGCAGAAATTGGGGTGATGTTTCTGTAAGCCAACGAACACCAAGCAAACCACCAGGAGCTAGGGGAGAGTCATGGAGGATTCCTCTTCACAGTCCTAACCAACTAAGATAGGCGGGTGTGTAAATGCAGATGATAAAATGGCCAACAGCACGTGAAAAAAACGCCATCCTGTCCAGAGTGAGGATTAGGGAACAGTGAGAACGGGTGGACAGGAAAGCTTATGCTCAGCCTCCAGCAACTGCTCTGTGGCACACAGCTTCTCCCCACCCCCGAAAAATCCATCATCAAGATTTCATGATCAGCATCCTGCTTTGTAAAAAAGGTGCAACTAATTTAACTTAAATATTGCTTGAGCCACATTCAACACTCTTCAGGCAACTCTGGTCTACTGCCATCTGTGATAAGTCCTCAATACGGCAACTAACGGCTCTCTAAAGACAGACACCAGGCCTCCTTGAAGGCTCCTTTGCTCCAGATTAAAAACACTAAGATTAGCTGGGGAGAATGAGGAACCAAGTACCACAGCAGAGAAAAATCACAGGCCATGAAAAGGCATCAGTTTCCAAAACTCCTGGTTTTTAGTCTACATAATAGTCACATGTCATAAAAGTGATAAATGTATATATTTTTGAGGTTCTACATAATAGTCATATGTGATATGTGTGATAAAACTCCTGGTTTTGCGTCTACATAAAAGTCACATGAGATAAAACTCTTGCTTTTGAGTCTGCAGAATAGTCACATGTGATATATGTGATAAATGTATATATTTTTGTGGTTGTCTACTAAAAACAAGTTTGTAAGATCACTGACTTAAACCACAGTAAGCTAAGCATTCATTTTGACTGACAAAGAATGTGACGTTGTCTTGTATGCAGGACTATTACCCAAACACTACTATGGCAAAGTCCACTGATCATTAAGGCAAAGCAGGATGGTATTGCAGAAAAATTTGCCTTACATTTACAGGCCTGCTCATCCCAATTCTGATGTCTTATAATATATACCTTTGCATTCTGAGAGCTGCGATACTCTCAACCGTCATGGAAGCAACATATATATTCAGGAACAGCAAATTCCAAGGTTTTGTGAACATAACCTTGAAGAACACGGTTTTCTTTCACTTTGTCACATGCCCAGGATATAAGAAAACACCAGTGTGTGGAACAGTAATTCCTAAATACCAGTCTGTTTGGCCTACCTTCAAATCAGGTAGGGTGCTAGGTAAAACCTCAGACCCTGGACCCCACGCCAGTGTAACAAAACACCATCTCCAAGGCTGAGGGAGTGGGGGCAGAATCCGTATGTTTACAAAGCTACTAAATCACAATCTCCAAAGATGAAATTAAATTGAACACATTCCTATGACACAGCAATTTCAGTTCTCCATAAAAACGGGGCACAAGGATCCAGCAACAGCAAATTAGCAAGAACCTAACAATCCACCACAGCATCTGGTTTAATAAGTAGTTGTATTTCACAATGGAAAACTTACTATGCAGCAGTTAAAAAAACGTGATGGAGTTTCATGTATTAACTTAACAGCTGTTCAAGAGTGAAAAATGTAATCTGCAGAAAATATGCATAGTTGAATCCTGTCTACATTAAAACAAAACAATATATTTCTCTCTGGAATTTCACAGACAAGGTCTATAGGAAAAGACCCTGAAGTGAGCACTGGGCTTAATTATGAGGAAGGTGGAAAGAGAAGCTAAGGTAGTTAAGCAGTACTTTATTGGTACCTCTGAATTGTTCATAATGAAAACTGAGGTTTCTATTGCCCAAGGCATTACAAGTTAATTTGGTTTTTGAGGGAGTCACATCTCATCTGCATGTCTGGTCACCTATGCAGAGAATCCCATCTTATGTGAGAGTCAGATTCTAAATTCAGAGTACAGTCTGTATTTCTTGTGAAAGTAAATGGCCAGTACACATGTTATACCTGATTTTAAGTATACATTCCTCAACAGAATTTAACATCTGTGTCTGTATAAACGTGCCATACATAAAACCTATACTGTGCATGCACAGTGGACCATCTGGCCTAGGCTGGCTCTCAGCTCCTCATAAAAACTGCTTCCTCCTTGAACAGAGCCTGGGGGTCACATAGCTCTAGGGATAAGCCCCAATGAGGTTACTGACTTGTGTTTAGGGGCCATGTTATAAAATGTAACAGCAATAGTGTCTTTAGATCGCCCTCAGTGTGGTTCGGGTTGGGCACGTGGGAACAGTGCATTTCCTTGTCCCATCTCCAGCCAGTTCCCATACACCACTCACTGCACAGAATTAAAAGGCAACTCCCAAAAGGTTTAAGGTCCCTTCTCCCAGACTTTCTTGTACTCGCTTTGTATGATTGGTGGAGATTTGCACCTTCCCTGACTCCCCAGGTTCTGAAGGAAGGAGTGAAAGGGAGATAAACCATGGACAGAAGAAATCCCACTTTCCATGATAGCAAAACACAGAGGAGAAAAACACAGATTTCCCCCTAATGGCCAGTTCTTCAGATCTGAAAAGGAAATTGGGGGTGGGGTGGGTTAAATACCTTAAGGAGAACTTCTGGCAATTGTGTTAGCCGAAGTGGAGGGCTAATACAGAAGGTGATTGTAGCCGCAGGAGCCAGGGCAAAAAACATTTTAATTTTTTTGGCCAGTGCTGGGAGCTGTGTAAATGCTATAAAACCTGTAGGACAAAAGGAAGGTGAAAGGAATTTGATCTTCTGGAAGGAACTTTCCATGAAAAGGCAAGGACAGTCGCGCGTTACACCCTCTAGTGGCAATATGAGAAACACGCAAGCAAACTCTTCTAATGGAGTCCTCTGAACTTTTCCATGCAGAAACACTGAGTTTGACTAAACGAGTAAATCAAGTATTTCTTACGTGATTGTTTCAATATTTCAACCTAGATACTCACTGGAGGAAATCTAGGTCGCTAAAACCAGATGCTTCCTGTTCCTCTAAGAATGTAAACCAAGCTAAGGAAATGCTGTATTGCTAACAGCTGGGGCCCCACCACGCCCATCCACCACTGACGCTCCCACAATCCCCAAGACCAATTTATAGAGGCATTCAAATCAACCACTAATAACTCAGAAAAGAGTTATGCATTTAGAGTGCCCTAGCATTAAAGTATCTCTTAGCTTCCTCTCAGATTACTGTGGGCCTTAAACTGGGCTCCAGAATATTACTACAGAAAGCAGTGAGGCAAAGGACATTTAGTAGACAAATCATGGAAGAAGAAATATAGATGAAGAATAATGCTTAACTTAATGAATAATAAAGGCAAAAGGTGTCCACATTAATTTTTGTTTGTGGCCTCTCAAACTGGCAAAGAGTATTCGCTTGGTAGTGAGGGTGAGGCCATTTAACCAATATATATCAAGACACTTAAAAGCATTCATATCCTCCATAGACTAATTCTCCTTCTAAGGATGTATTCTAATGAGACCATGTGATATGAACATAAAGCTGTTGGTTACAGTACACACTAAGCCCTGACCAGTGTGGCTCAGTTGGTTCGGAGTTGTTCCGGAAAGCCAAAGGTACTGGATTGATTCCCAGTCAGGGCAGACGCCTCAGCTGCGGGCTCCATCCCCAGGAGGGGTGTGCAGAAGAGGCAACCGATAGATGTTTCTCTCTCACATCAATCTTTCTCTCCCTCTCTTTCTACCTCCAGGCCCCCTCTCTAAAACTAAATAAAATCTTTAAATACTAAAAGGGGGAGTTCTTTAAGTTACAGGACAGTCTCCTAATCCCTAATCAGAGGAACACTTGTAGAATTATGGGCAATTTTTATTTTCTTTAAACTTTGCTAATTTCCTATTTTTGTTTACAATGAATGCACATTACTTTTGTATCACAAATAAAATGTATATGACTTTTAAAAACTATTTATTAAAAAAGTGTAACATGGCATCTGTGTAGTTAGTTTCACTCCACTTAATGTTAAAAGTTAGTGTACTTTCTTGTTTTCTTTTTAAAAGCCTCTGCACTTACAAAACTTCTTGTTTTCTACCCTCTCACATCCCCATGTTGCTTAATGAGAGAAATACATAACAGGCTGTGGCTTACATTAATTCCTTTACATTCAAGAGAACCACAAAACATGTCTATCCATTCATGTTAAAGCCTGAATTTCCAGAGAAGAGACAAGTACTACCAAAATTCTGAGGCTTTGCCCTAATCATTACTTCTCCTTGGTATTAAATATTATTATTATTATTAAACGTCCATTTGTGCTAACATTTTTTATATTTTACTTTTCAGAACAAATGCAAACTGCGACAAAACATTACATCAACTTCCAGTCTTTATTTCATACATACCTATTGTGGTGCCTTGGGAATGACCCACATAATACACTTGCTTTTGGCTGGTTTTGTTCAGAATGTAGTTAATGGAAGCTGGTAAGTCATAGATGGCCATCTCATGAAAACTGCAACCCAAAAATGGAACTCTTTCATTGAGACGTTGCAGCAAATACAGCAGCACACACATAGGAAGCAGGCAGTGTGACCCCTTATCACAGACCGAAGCTGCGTGAGCCGCCACTGAGTGCAGGAAAGAAAATTCCCAGGACTGCAAAAGCCCCGGGGCGCCTTCCGGGGCTTACCCCATAAATGAGATTCACCCATTTTTTAACTTTTCTATAAATTGGATCCAACAGTACGTATTCTTCTATATTAGGTTACATCCAAACTGCCGCACGTAGTTATAGGTTGTTCATTGTGCTAACATACCACACTTATTTTGCCCATTCCTTGCTAATGGGCATTTGGTAGTTTCCAATTTTTCACTATTACAAACAGTTGTCATACATGTCATTGGCAAAGGCTCTTGGTCATGCATTTCGTGGCCCTAGGTGGGCTCTGCTTTACACCTGCAAAGCAAGACTGGAGGATCCACAGCCTGGCCTTCTCCGCACCTGGTATCATGACAGAGCCCTGACCTGGTTTGCCAGAGAGCATTTCTGTCATCGGGAGAGTGACGCGCCCATTGCTGCCACCACTCATGATGGAGTGCCAGGCTCTTTGCCTGGATCGCCTCTTTTAACCCCCCAATAACCTGATGAGATAGGTATTCATTATCCCCACTGTACATGAAGAAAACTCAGACACAGATGGCTTATGTGACAGGCCTGATGTCACACAGTGATTCATCGGTAGAGCCAGAAGCAAAGGGGAGGAGAGGAAATCTTCCGGATACAGAATAGTGAGCATTTGGAATGTGTGTTGATAAAGGAAGGAAGAAGGTTATGGGACATAATTCACTCAGCAGCTCCCACACCACCAGCAATGCCAAAATACCTAAAACATTTCTGATTGAATCTAAATCTCAGTGTAGTCATTTACTTAAAATTTACCTCACTGCTATTTATTAAATCCCTAAAAAGGTTTCCAATCTTTCATGATCCATCAGTCTCCTCTCCCATGACCCTGAGTTACCCACCTATCTGCACCCGTGTGTCTGTTGAGAGCACTAAGGGACTGGAGCCTACCATGATCAATTCAAAGATACCTGAAGGCCCAATACTCAGCCTGAAGAACAGAAAGCGTCTTGTGTTTCCGAGACCAGGTGTTTCCCCGGCTGTTCCCCATCCACACGTCAAAACCAGCGTCTGCCAGAATGAAGCCCAGGCTGCTATTGGGCAGGTTTGTGACCCAGTTACTTGAATCTGCCAAGAAGCCATGCTGCAGGAACACCACTGGCTTGGGACCTGAAACACACTCATGTTTAGGAGCAAGCAGCACCTATCTTCAAAACAAACAGGTAATGCATAAACGACCCCAAAGCAAATAGTGAAAGAGGGACGAGTTAAAATATTGAGGTGGCAGTGTACTCATATATAACATTACCAAAGAATATTTTTAAACAGTGCTAGCAAGGTAACAGTGACACCAGACTATTTTTGCACATCTAGTAACAAGACACACTGACTTAATCATCAAAAAAGTTTTAATATATTTTTAAGAACTTATGAAATGTTTCTATATTTTTCTCCAATAGATTTCTCAGAATTTATCCTAACAAAATAAACCAAAAGGAAAAAAATATCTCTCACACACAAATTCGTAAATATATATATACATGTATTCATATGCATATACACACATATACATTTGTATGTAAATTTATCTTCTACTCACCCATACCTGAGACAATGATACAGTAGAAAAAACAAACCTGGGAGTAAAAGAAACCTGACCTCCAGCTGCTTACATTGTGTTAAGAACATTCAGTGATTCATTAAACAAACATCTATTGAGCACCAGCTACATGCCCAGCACCTCGGCTGTGTGCTGCAGACACAGCAGGGAATAGCGGCAAATGAGTAAAAAAAGGAAAAACCTCATACTCTCGGAGCCAACATTATATTGACCATGAGTTTCAGAGTCAGACACTCCTGGGTTCAAATCTGTCCTTGCCTAGTTCTGATGTGCCCTCTTGGGCACAGTATTTCAACATCCCCGGAAATTTATGTCATCCCCAGGCAGAATGGAAATGTAATGTGCCCCTGACAGGGAGTAATGAGATATGAAATATTATATGAAACATGCTTAGAAAAGTATCTGACACACAGTAAGACTTCAAGAAACATTAGCTCACATTATTCAGTCACTTAACCAGTCCCAGTCTCAGTTCCATAAATGTTAGGAAAAATAAATAATTAACTGTATGGTGGAGTGACTGACACATAGGTCAAAATAAATAAGAACTCCCTTTGCTTTCCGCCCATCCTTTATAACAGTGAAACCCCAGAAATAAGCTGATGGTTGAGCGGTCAAATACTTCACGGCCATCGGACCGGGGCCATGACAGGGACAGCGGCAGCACAGAGAGAGAAGCTTCCAGCAGAACTTAAAGGGGGAAGAAGAGGAAAAGTACAAAATTAGGGACTACTCTGCACTACAGCTATGCAGCCATGATGTATGCAAATGAGAAGTCTAAAATGTCCAAGAAAAATGAGAAGACTCACTGGATAGTCAGATGGGAAGTGAATTGACAAATTATTTCTCTAAATCAGATTTCTTTGCACCTTCTTAGCTGAGAAAAGCTGACTGGAATAACACTGAGATATTATCGTGTGCTTGTAAGTTCTGAGGTGCTGTGGTGAAAATCCTGTGTGGCTGGCACTATTCCCATTTAGCAGATAGGGAACTGTGGCTAAGGAAAAAGTAATTTGACCACTATGAACCAAGAGATAGTAAGTGTGGAGTTGGGACAGGAAGTCAGGGAGACCTGGTGCCGGGTCCATGATTGGAAACGTGCTGGCATAGGAAAGGATGTTAGCTGGAGAGGAGTCATTCTACACCATCCAGAAAGTCACTCTACCCCTCACAGAATGACAGCCTGTGGAGGGGATGCTGTCTTGGAGGGAGCTGAACTGCATGCTTGGAAGAAAGCAATCTCTGCTAGGAGATAGAGAATGGGGACAGGGACATGCTACTCAACTTGGCTGCTCAGGCAATTCTCCCAAGGACCAGCCTGGCCCATGCACTCCAGCACCTGAGGCCTGGTGTGTCTGAGAAGCAAACTGATGCATCAGGGCCAGGGCTGCCTCCCCTAGCTGTGCCTACAATTGGTTTGTTTCTCCCATACTAGCCCTGGGAGAGCTGGGAACTGACTGAAGGAAAGTCCCAAAGGCAGCTTGGACCAGAGAGGGCAAGTGACATTCTCGTGGTCACCTAAATAGTTAGCCACAGAGCCAGCAACAACAGGCAACCCCCTGATGGCCCAACTCAGTATTTCCTGCCTGATTAGGCTCTCACAAGGGTGGCAGTGTGGAGGGGACTGGTCAGGCTCCAAAAACAAATCTGCTGAGCCCACAGTCTCAAAGGAAGAAGATGGCAAGCACACACGGGAGGAAGATGATGGGTGGGCAGGGAAATTCCTCCTACCTCCCAAGCCACTGGCCTTCTCTACCTGGTCAGGCCACCACTGGTCAGGCTCTGAAATGGTGTGAGAAATCAGCTGACATGCAAGGAAGAACTGAAAGAACAAGGAGGAGGTCACAAAGATCAAGGCGTTGGTGTGAAATGCACCTTGTTTCTTACTAGTTAAGAAACCTTGTAGGATTTACTCAAGCTCTCTGAAGTGTAGATGTCCTTTTCAAAGTGGGAAGAATGCCGCAACTGATACACAGTACAGCTCAACAAATAATGACTCATAAAAACAATACTGAATATACAACTGTAATAAAATAATATTAGAACAGAAGCACAGGCAGGAGGGTCTGAGTAAGAGAGAGACAGAAAGATGCTACACTGCTGGCTTTTAAAGATAAAGGATGGGGCCTGAAGCCAAGGAATGCAGGCAGCTTCTAGGTGCTGAAAAAGGTAAGAAAACAGATCTCTCTTAGAGTCTCCAGAAGGAACAGAGTCCTGCCAACACCTTGATCTTCGGCCTCTGACCTCGAGGACTACAGGATCATAAATTTGTGTAGCTTTCAGGAACTACATTTGTGATGCTTGGTGACAGTAGCAACAGGAAACTGACTCAGTTGGGGACCAGTATTCACCCCCATTTTTCATCTAATGACTCTGAGGCACATTGTGGCCAAGTAATCTGTGCACAGCTGTACAGCCAGCAATCCCGAACCAGGACTCCGAGGCGGTGCTATGTCTCCTCGGCCTAAAGAAGAGAGAGAGCCCTGGCTCCTTGTTAGTCTAGCAGGAGCCTCCACAACCTAAAATCTTTCAGGATCTCCTAGAAGATGGACTGTGAGTTGCATAAGAGCCCGCCTCCCGCCACCCCTCTGCAAAGGCAGGCTCTAGGCAAAATGGCATCAAGGACTTAGCTTAGTGTACATAAGCATTCCCAACCCCTTTGTAGTGAGTGATGCAAAGCCAGACCTGCTCCCTACTTTGCACCTTTCTGCAGTCATGCAAGGGACCGAACAATGCAGGGAAGCTCAGCACCCAGCAAAGCAGGCCCTCGGCTTGCACAAACCCAAAGTCCAAGGGCTGGCTCAAACATCCCTTTTGGTTTTAGGTCACTGAAAGCTTAAGGGCCTGAGAGGCTTCCTGAACCTGCCCCAACTACTTAAGATAAATCCTAACAAGCACTGGTGCCTGGCTGATGTTAGCATTAGATATTAGCATTAGCATTAGCATTTGTCATAACAGCTAACATTTAGGTGCCTAGGGCTTCATTTCACATGAATTATACCATTACAAGAGAGCTGGTAAGATCCATCCCGTGTTAAAGAGAAGGTAACTGATGCATGGACAGAAATTAAGTGACCTGCCCTAGAAGACTCACCTCGCAGAGAGCCACAATTGAAACCCAAGCCAGCCACGTTCCAAAGCCCTTGCTTTTAACTACTAGAGAACAATTCATTAGAAAACAAAGTGCTGGGAGAGACGAGGTGGGTTCATGACTATTCCAGCCATTTGTAAAAAAGCCAAGCACTATGTCCTCAAACTGGTTGCATATCAAAATCACCTGGGGCGCTCAGACGGCATACACATTCCCAGCCTTGGCTCTGATTCAGGGAATCAGGGACCACAGGACAGAACCTGGAAATACTTAGTCTTGCAACACTTCTGTGGCTCTTCTGATGCAGCCCATCCATAGGCGTGTTCAAACTGGAGTCATCAAACAGGGAGCTTGTTCAGCCCTCAAAGGGCAGCCCCTTGTGTTTGCCAAGGCAAAGTTCAAAACGTCTGTCGGTGCACACTGAAGGCATTTATTCATATCCCTGAACGCCTTCAGACACAAAACTTTTCAGATACTATTGGTGCTTTATTTGCTGATTGTTTTATTGGACAGTTTATATCCCAGTTAGGCGAGGAGCAGGTCTGCCTCGTGGCTCTTTATGTACTTCAGCCAAGGCCTGTATGTATTTCTTTGTTTCGGCCAAATGAGATAAGTAGTCTGTCATGGGATTAAGTTGCTCAATACTTCCTACACAAGGCCATGATCTCTAGTTTAAAGTACACTGACTCAGACTAGCTGGCCCACCATCCTTTGCCCTCAAGCAAATCCTTTTTCCTCTTTGACCTTGGCTGTGTCACCCAGTAAAATAGGGTATTGATCTAGAACACAGGTTCTCAAACCCAAAGACTTCACCTCAGAATCCACAGGAGAGCATGATAACAATGAAAGTTCTCCAAATCCTTGGCCCAGGTAGGACTCTGATATCCTTCTAGTGAGAACATCCCCTGACTTTCTGAAATAAGGCTGAGCAGATAAAAACAGAGATACTTCCCTAAAAATGATGAGTTTCTGAATTTCAATTCCCTTATAGAGTTAGTGCAAAGCAGGGATAGGTCAGCACTCCACAGAGCAGTTTGCTCAACCCTGAGAAACACCATGCACCTACCTCACAGCTCACTGAGAGCTTTCTGAGAAAGTAGTCTAGACCAGACATAAAAATGGTTATCGAAATCAAGGGGATTTTGTGCTCATTCTATAAACTCTCTACACATACAAACAAAATTTGTGTGCGCACAGGTGTCTTTTAATTCACTAGAGAGAGGGCCCATTGCCTGCATTCAGCTGTGTACCCCAGCTCTGGAGACTGCCCTACTATAACTGTCACTCAGGTGGCCATGCTGCAGGCATGGTGCTGCTAGTCCCCATGAGGGACACAGAGATGACAAAGACATCAAAGCCTCGGCCTTCAAAGACTGAGGGAGGGATGAGGCAGAGAAAGAAGCAAAGAAATAAGTTAACCCAAACCAAAATAAGAAAAGCACCTCAGGAAGGGTGTTGGCAAGGCTGCTGGGAGTTCAGAGAAAGTGTGTGTCTCCTTCCTGCTTAAGCAACCAGGGAGACTTGGCAGTTATGCTGGGCTTGGAAGGATGAAGAGAATCTTTTAAGAGATGACCATAGCTGGAGTGGGGAGGTTAGCAGGTGGAGGGAAGAGCAACAAGGGAAAAGGACCCATGGGCATGGACAACAGGGTGGTGGTTGTTGGGTGAGGGGAGCACAGGGGGACTCAATGGTGATGGGAAAAAATACAATAAAGATTAAATTGTTTTAAAAGAAGATAGTAGGCAGGATGAGCAATATTCTAGAGGTTGTGTTCATCAGCCAAAATCCAGGGAGACTTTAGCAAAAAGGAAATAACTCATGAGAGCGAGTTATTTGGATTGGAGAGTGTCAGGAAGTAGTTATCTAATACTTATTTACATAACAAATGCAACTTCAATTATAGCATTAATAATTTGTCTACAAATTATTAATTAAATCTGTACAGTCAATAAGTGATAAATGTTTCTTAGATAACAGGTAAACACAGCTGGCAACCAATAGTTCTCAAGCACTCCCCGTACACCTTGCAGAATAGGTGTCCAACCCCATCCTACAGAGGAAGACACCATGGACATCACAGCCAATGACTGTACACACTAACTCGGGGAATCATCTCCACAGTGAACTTCAAAGGCCTACTGCTGTGCAGAATGGGGGTGAACAGTACGGACAACATCTAGGACAGAACAGGATATTAAGGGGAGGTGTACATCTTCATTTCACAGGCCCCTATAGAGGCTGAATGGCAGGATCAGGCAGTTATGCCCGGGCTCTGAGAAGGTCAATCCTGCAGGACTACACGAGATGAATGAAAACTGCCAGACTGGCAGTAAAGACAGCAGCTGCTGTGTGTGGAGGAGCAGTGGCTAAGCCCTGTGATCATAAAGCCTCCAATAACCTCCACATGAGTCTCTACAGGCAACCAGAGGACCACTGAGACAGGACTGAAGGATGCTCACCACACAGCTGCAAACTCTGCTTGTGGCAGCACCACAGTGCAACCAAAACACTGAGAAAAAAACACTTTGAAAAGGGTAAGAGGAATGCTTTCACCTTGTCCTCCATAAACGACTCATGTTTCACTGTATCTTGCAATGATTTGTAAACAGTATAGATGTCTGGTGTTGTTTCTGTGTGTATTAAAAGTACTAATTTCTTAAAAGATAGGCAGACTGAGTATTTTCACATTTTTGTTTTGATATTCTTTTTTTTTTAATACACAGGAAGCCTTAAAAATGGAAGTGGCTCAAGCCTCTTTTGGGCTCTGAGTTTGTCTCAGGCATCCAGTGAAGTGCTAAAAAGAACTCAAGGAGGAGTGGATGGGAGTCAGGAATGATTCTGCAGTCTCTAGCCGAGGTCATGCGGAGGGGGATGGTGGTATCAATAGAGGAGGAAGTCAGGAGAGGAAGTGGCATGAATGAGAAGGTGATGAGTTCTGTGTGAAGGACTTTATGACTTCGTCTACTTGGCTGGAATGAGCCAAAGTAACACCAACAACACCCTGGCTAACTATGAGTGAGGACAATGAAGTGCCTCTGCCTTTGACCATGAAATGCAAACCAGCTGTGAGAGGAAACCCCAGGCAGGGGTCAGGGAATCCACAGGTTCCCTTAGATCACTGAGTCTCTTGTCCCAGATTTCCTCTGAAACTCCCCTAGGAGCCAGCTCACCACAGGTATTATATAAACACCACTGAGGCCTCTGAAGAAGAGAAGGTGGGAACCTAATGCTATGGCCAGATTTTAGGGTACTCTCTGTTCCCCATTTTGAAGACCAATGTTATCCACTGCCCCATACCTCTGCCAAAACAAAACAAAATATCAGTAAAACAAAAAGAAGGTAGAACATAGCCTATAGAACCAGAGAGTGATAAAGATGCAAGGAAACAGCCAATCAACTATTTTTACAGATGAAGAATCCTAGGCTCACACACGTGAAACCACACAAGCACTTAGGGGCTGACACAGACCTAGCACTGAGGTCTCCTAACTTTTCTTCCTACCCCCTGGGGATGAATCCAAAATCGTGCTCACTCTCTTCATATTCCGGGCCATGGTACCTTCCCCTGCAATGGTCTCAATGCATACACACAGGGCCTGTGGCTCTACTTGCTTGACTTGCTATATGGACAGAGAATTTTGTAGGTGGCAATAAGACAAAGAAAGGAGGCACAGTCTCTAAGCTTGCTCTTACTGAGTATCCCTGCATCTTTTAACAATGACTTACATTGCTAATTATTTTAGTCAGTTAACCACTTTTAAGAGAAATAATATTAAGACATATTTTTTTTATATGGGATCTGAGGTCAGTATACAGGGTTTACTTTAGAAAAAAAAGGAAAGAAAACATCATATGATCACTGTGGAATGAAATACGAGGTTTGTCTGGAAAAACTCAAGCCATTGTCAATATAATGAAAATGGTTTGCACGACATTGATGCACCCTGGCTGCCAAGAAGAGTGGACTGGAATGCAAATGTGTGAACAATGATGACTTCCCTGTACTAGATAGTGGGGGCAGTAGATGCCATTGAGTGAGCATTTGTACTTTGTGGCTGTTGCATTCAAAATGACTGCATCAAATTTTGCATTAAGCTTGAACATTCCTCTGCAGAAACGATTCAGGGGATTCAAAAAGCCACAGCTATGGACAACTGGTGATTGGCAGCTTCATCACAACAACGGACCCACTTATGAATTAGGTCTTGTGCGGAGATTTCTGATGAAACATCCAGTCAGCCAGGTGACTCAGCCCCCCTACATCCCAGCACACATTTGGCGCCCTATAACTTCAGGATTTTCCCCAAACTAAAATCACCTTTGAAAGGAAAGAGATTTCAGATCATTGTTGAGATTAAGGAAAATACAACAGGGCTGCTGATGGAGATTGGGAGAACTGTGTGAGGTCCCAAGGTGCCTGCTTTGAAGGGGACTAAGGCGTCATTGTCCTATGTACAATGTTTCTTGTATCTTCCTCAATAAATGTCTCTATTTTTCATAGGACATGACTAGACATCTTCTGGACAGACCTCGTGTATGTTTTGTGTGTTTGAGCACAAATTATATATAGAAGCCCTGACTATAGCTCACTATTCATTTCTGACATGCTGACAAAGGGGAAGCTTAATAACGTGTATCTGTAAATCATAGAAATCTTAAGAATTAGAAATTAAATTTCAAAAAGAGCAAGGGCCATTTTAAGCATCATTAAAAGCCTTATTATAGTTAGAATTTATGGAAAAACAAATGGATAAATCAGATATTAAGAAAAAACAGATAATGATCATTAACGAGGTTTTTAACTTTGCTTTGACTACTAATTTGGGAAGGAATTGAGACAAAGAAGGCACTTCTGCTCATATAAAAATTTAACTAAAGAAGAGACAATTATCCAATTACCTTAATCTCAACCTTTACTTATTAAGGAAAGTTTCTAGACACAGAAAATGTTCAAGATTAAGCTACATCTGGAGAGGATTAAATAAGAATCAGATCCTTATTCTGATATTTAACAATTTCAGGTAATCTTTCTAGAAATTTCTTAATGTGGTTACTGATATAAAAACTGGCCCAGTTCCTGCCTTGACACAGAAAACATGCTTACCTTTGTCAGAATGGTCCTTCCTCCCGTGAGGAATTCGGTGGAGGCAAAGAATGTATCCATCTTCTGTCTCCACGAGGTGTTCCTCACTAGGAAACCCCCAGGAGGAGATCATTTCACTCTATAGAGGAGAAAATACATAATTATAGTGGAAGGTCTATGGACAGAATCTGACAAAATCTCCCACATTCACAGGCAAAGAGGACATGATGTTAATGACATTTTCCAGGCTTTGTTTAAGAAATTGAACTTTCAGTCTGCTAAGTCTAGTCACACTCCCATCACCAGAGGAAATCCTCCATGTGTTTCATCCCTTCCTTCTATTCCTGAGTGTTTCGTGAAACCTATGGTCACCCCAGCATGCTCTACACCAAGGATGACTAATTTTGCCACAGCTGTGGGTCTCTTTGTTTCCATCCTGGCCCCCAGGCAAAATAAACATTCTCTTTCTTTTCTAAGTATGCCAGCCAATACCACGATCTACCTCCATTCTTATTTTAAAAGGCCCCATCCTGGTCTTTAAGTAATCTCTATTTCCCTAATACTTTGCACCTAAACAAGGTATTTCCAGACTTTATGGTTTACTTAGGATTAAAAACTTTGAAATGTTTTAATTACTGAAGGGATTGTTTTTGTTTCTCTGTTCTAACAAAATGTTTTTTTTTTTCCAGATCTTTTCATTTTTGTATTGAACTGTACTTCCTGGACATTGCTAATCACCATCCTTGTTCAATGTATTGGAAAGCAGCTCCCAGTAGTAATGTTCTTGCAAAGTTTTGACACTCTTATTGTTCTTAAACAGATTTAGTGAGACTTAAGAATTAAACAAATCTATACAAATGTCATTTATTGCTCTAAGAAGCATATAGTTTTCACAGTAAGGTGCAACCTGTAAAATACACACCACCTGTGAGGAGAGTCTAGCAAACTCAATCTAAGCTTCAGAGAACTCGAAAAGCACTGAGATATCAAGCAATGAGAGCATGTGGCTCCACGTAACCCTGAATTTAAGAACGTACTTAACTCTTATCACATGCATTCGGAAAGCAGGTGACTTTGAGAGACCTACCACATTCATATTTGTTTCAGGATCCACAGGTGGTGTATTCTCTCTGGATGTCTCAGAACGCAGGGTCCCAAGGGCCAAACAGAACACCAAACCCAAAAGCCACATTTTCATTCTGTATAAAACAGTCCATTGTTATTTGTCCAAATTTTACTGCACATAATTACATTCATAGATTAATTTCCCATAAAGAGTTCAGAACCAGGTTCAGGGCAAATAAACCTTAGGTGAAAGGCAAATATGAAACAAATGACTCCAATCACATCTGGAAGCACAAAAAGGAGGAATTCTTTTACTAGGAGACCCACCATCCCCACCTTCTGTCCCCGTTACTATGTGACCTTTGGAGCCCAGCACACCTACTCACTGCTTCATCACGAGGTTAAATAAGTTATTACTGGAGCAGTAGCAGAAGGCCGGACTTACTGTAGAGAAAACTAGGCTGAGAAAAAGGAAGATCCTCAAAAATCCCGAGACTGTTAACCTTCCGCCTTTTTCTCTCTAATTGTGATATCAACACTTGTGAGTTTGGCCAGTATTAGCTTTTGTCACCACTATCTACTCACTTCCATTCTTGCTCCAAAGTATGTGTGAGGATTCAAATTCATCACCGAAAGGGAAAAAGTGAAATGAAAGAAAAGAGCCTACTGGAGAAACAGAGGGAGAGAAGACCACCCCTCTCCCCTCCTGGGACCCTCCAGCCACTAAAAAAGACCATCTAGTTTCTGGCTGTGGCAGCACAGAATCACAGCATGGCCGAGAACTGGGGATGGAAGTTACAGGCACAGCAAAGTGACTCTCCCAAGGACACCCATATGGTTAGACACAAGGCTGGGACTACAGCCTGGGCCTCTGGCATTGTTTTAAGTAAATATAACCACTTAAAAAGGTCCATGTGTGAATGCCCACACAAAGACTTGGACAAAAAACGTTTATCACAGTCCAGCCTGTGTGGCTCAGATGGTTGGTGCATCCTTCCATGCACAGAAAGGCCGAATGGCAACGGGTTTGATTCACGGTCAGGCACATACCTGGGTGGTGGGTTCAGTCCTGGTTGGGGCACATGCAGAAGGCAACCATTCAATGTTTCTCTCTCTCTTTCTCCCTCTCTCATCAATAAATATCTATTTTTTAAATGTTTATAGCAGGTTGTATAAAATAGCCCCAAACTGGAAAAACCCAAATGCCCCAAAGGAGTGAATTGGTAAGCATATTATGGTGTATACACACTACTCAGCAATACAAAGGAATGAACACAGCAACATGGATAAATCTCAAAATAACTCTGGTGAGTGAGAGAAGCCAGACCTCCTCCCCAAAAATCCTATATATGATTCCATTTACATAAAACTCTAGAAAATGCAACCTAATCTATTTTGACAGAAAGCTGATCAATGGCTGCCAGAGGAGAAAAGAATTGGGAGCAGGGAGTTACAAAGGGCTATGCACAGGAAAGCTTTGGGGGTGGGGGTAGGGCGTGATGGACAGGTTTATTATATTGAATTTACTGATAGTTGCATGGCTCTGTACATATATCAAAGCTTATAAAATTGTACATTGAAAATATGTCTTGCTATTGAATGTCAATTAATACAATACAGCTGTTTTTAAAAGGCTAGGCTTAATCCGAGGACACGCTTACCTCAGTGATAAGGAGGGTTTGGTTCCAGACCTTCCCAATCCAGCGAGTATAGCAACAGAGCTTTGTTTATTCAATCTGAAACGAAAACCGAAATATCTCCAAGGTATGCCTGTATTCTACAAATCTGAAGAAACTTGTTCTCAGGAAGATGCAAAAGCAAACTGACACCCCTTTGATGGAATTCCTGCTGGTGCTGCACTTATTTGTCCAAGCAGTGGTGAAGCCCACACTTGTAGATGGGGGACATTATCTTGCGGTCTGCACTGGCAAAGCAAGCCCACTTGCATTTATGCAAAAGTTTGTATTTCTTTATGGCGGTTAGAAGGGATAACTTTTATTTTAAATATAACCTCTCAAAAATCTGTTATTACCAGGAATTAAGTCGATTGAAAAGAAAAATGAAAGGTTATAAGCACAATTTAAAACAATGAGGCATCCAGCACTACCCACTTTCCAGTCAGCACCTGTCCTACAGCACCTGGACCAGCTGTCCACAGAGGACTCCACAGTAACAGCTGAAGCTACTCCAGGATATATGGCCTAGCTAATTTTTCCTTCCAACACTACACTAACCAAGCTACTAGTCAACCTACACTTTCCCAACCTACTAGTCAAGTGATTACCATAAAGATGAAGATTGACAGGGGTAAATGGAGAAAAAACCCTTTCAGGCTGGATTCCAGGTGCTTTTCTGAACTCCCTTAGCCACTTTCACTTACTTCTTTCTCTATTGTAACAACCCAATTATCTGCCCTCATTTCAGCCAAGCTGGAGGGCACAGTGGGTGTCTCATTCTACTTTGAGTCCCTGGACCCCAAGTGCTCCTCACATATGAGATGCACAGTACAGACTTTGCAGTATGGAGTAGGAGCGGTCCAACAGTCCAGTGGCTGAAGAAAAGCCCCAAAGCAGTTTGTCATAGAGCTTAATAATAACAACAACATCACCAACAGCAACAATAACAACATCGACTCCCATTTAAGCTCTTGCTATGTGCCAGACCCCACAGGCAGGCTTTATGACCTACTATTTTAATTACTCCTCCACCACTCTATGCAGCAGCCTTCAATACTTTTTCCAGGAAACTGCGGCTCAACCAAGTTAAGTACCGAATGCAAAGTGCCAACTGGTTAAACAGTTGGAATTTTCACCAGCACCAATGCCAAAGTTCACTCTCGACCAGGTCGTGAGTTCACAAGTTAGTAAGGCTGGGCAGGCTGCCTGAAGGAGCTAAAGGGAGTAGAGGGCGAAGAGGAAGCCGGGAATCCAGAATACTGGCTGTCACCGCAGTCCAAAGGCTTTGGGCAGCTTCCCTGTGCAGACCACGCCTGTCTGGGAATCAGAGGGCACCTGGGGAGAAGGGGACAACTTCGGAGAGCTTCCGACTCCTGGGTCACTGGGATGTAGCTGGGCCACCCGCAATGTGCTCGGGCAAGGTGCCTAGGGCCAGCAGAGGCTCGGGACGGCGGAACTGAAACCCCAGGAGTGGTGCCTACGCTCCCCTGGAGCCCGCAGAGATGGGTCCGAACTGCAGCACTCACACCTGGCGGAGCAGCTGGGGCAGGCACTCACCTGGAGCCGTCCTCCCCGGATGCTGTCCAAAGCCGCGGTGCCAGCCATCAGAAGCCGGGCCTCTTAGAGTGGCCCTGGAGAGGGCGGAGACAGTTCCACCCCTGGGCAGGCGTCCACCCCGGCTCAGGCTCCGAGCGCCGCCAATCAGAACGGCCCGCCACCGGCAAGTGCAGCGACCACTCCCCCCTTCAGCTGAAAAAGGCGGTTCCCGAGGAGGCCCTAGGCCCCCACAAAGCCTGAGCCGTGAGCAGCCCGGAGAGGTCTGACAGCCTGGGCACCGCCACCCAACCCTCAGCAGATCGCCGCTCCTATGCTGGGCAGGTAACCCCTAGTCTCTTAGCTCTGCACCTGGAGCTACTTCTGTAGGGCCCACACCCTCTGCTTCAAATTATATACTCCGTATGAAACACTTAGCATTGTGATTGATGCAAAACAATCTTGCTGTACATTTTATTTTTACTGCTAAATGTGCCAAGCATTATTGAGACACTAGGGGTACAGCAGCCAAGAAAACAAGACCCCTGTCCTCCTGCCTACATTCTAATGAGAAGAAGCATACCACGAATAAATAACTATATAAAATAAACTAGTAGAAAGCGCTATGAAGATCAACAAAAGGGAGTAAAAGGGGTAATGAGAGAAGTTGCAATGTTACATGTGAGGTAATCAGAAAAGGACTGATGAAGTGACATCTAAACAGAAACAGAAAGGTGTTTTCAGAGCAGAGTAGGGAGTGGAGACTGATGCAGAGTGGAGGGAGGGGGGAAGAGGAGGAGGAAGAAGAGGGAGACAGAGAGAGAAGGAGCACCAGCCTCCATGATCCCAGGTTTTCAAAGGTTTCCCTTGAAGTCTTGCGCCCAGTACCAATTTGGTGCTGCATGTAAAAACACTACACAAGATCAGGAAAAGACCCACCTAAAGGAAACAAATGGGAAGCCCCGCCCCAAGTTCACACAGGATTGGGAAATTTTCAGGTTCTATCTGGCCAGAATGGGAAAATCCTGTAATGTAAAGGCACTAGGTAAGAGTCAAAAGGATATCACCTTAATGTTGGAACAAAATTAGCCCTGGAGTAAGGACACTTAAATATAAGAGTCCTGAAACCCCCTCAAATTATTTTTTACCAGGATGCCAAGACAATTCTGTGGGGAAAGAATAATCTTTTAATAAATGTTGCTGGGGAAATCAGATAGCCTTACCTCACATCTTACACAAAGTTAACTCAAAATGCACCATAGATATACATTTGAGACTTAAAACTGTATAACTTCCGTGTTGGGGCAGGGGGCATGGAGAAACTAGTAGGTTTGCCAAAGATTTTTAAAACACAGTATAAAAAAGACAACCCATGAAAGAAAAAAAAAGCAACAAATTGGACTTTTTCAAATTAAAAACTTGATTCTTTGAAAGATGCTTTATAACCACAATGAGGTACCACTTCATATCCACTGGGATGACTATAATCAAAGACATACAATAACAAGTGTTGCAGAGGATGGGGAGAAACTGAAACCCTCACACACAGCTAATGGGGATGTAAAATGGCACAGGCACTTCGGAAAACAATCTGCAGTTCCTCAAAAGGCTAAATATCCAGTTGCCATGTGGCACAGCAATTTTACTCCTATGTATCCATCTACCCAAGAGTAATAAGAACTTATGTCCACATAAAAATTTGTCCATGAATGTCCATAAAGTATTCATGATAGCCAAAGGATAGAGACATGTCTACCAACTGATGAATGGCTACATGAAATGTGATATATCCATATAATGGAATATTATTGCATAATTTTAAAATGTAGTACTGATACATGCTGCAACATGGATGAAACTTGAGAACATGCTAAGTGAAGGAAAGCCAGTCACAAAAACACAAAACAAAACACTCTATTTATATGACATGTCCAGAATAGGCAAATTGATACAAACAGAAAGTAGATTAGTGGTTGCCTAGAGACAGTGGTGGGGGATGGGAAGAGAGTGGGTTGATGGCTACAGGGTGTGGGGTTCCTTCTTTCAGATATGAAAGTGTTCTAAAAATAATGGTGGTGAAGGTTATACAGCTCTGAATAAACTGAAAGTCATTCAGTTATACACTTTAAATGGGTGAATTGTGTGGTATGTGAGTTATATGACAATAAAACTGCTTTTAAAAACTTTATAAAAATGATGAGATGTTCTCCTTACAATTTAATAAGAAGACTAAAAGCCCAATCAAAATGGGCAAAAGATGGAACACAGCACCATAATAGATATACACATGGCAAGTAAACACATGAACATATGCTCACCATCATCAGTCATCAAGGAAATGCAAATTAAAGCCACAATAAGATATCACTGTTCTACCCATGAGAATGTCTAAAATTAAAAAGTGCTGAAAACTATGCAGAGTAACTAGAAATCTCATACATTACTAATGGGAATGTAAAGTGGTCAGCCACTTTAGAAAACAATTTGAAAGGAAATAAATTTGCCTCATATGACTAGCTATTCTACTCATAAGTGGAAATGAAAATTTCCCAACAGAAATAAAAATTATTTGTATACAAATGGTCTTTGTAGTTTTATTTGTACAAAGGAAACACTAGAGGCCACATGTATGCCCATCAACAGGTAAATGGGTAAACAAGTTTTGATATATCCATACAGTGGGTTACTCAGCAATAAAAAATAATGAACTATCTTTTAATCTTCACTTGAGGATATGTTTACTGATTTTAGAGAAGAGGAAGGGAGTGAGAGAGAGAGAACACATATTGATGTGAGAGAGAAACATCGATCAGTTGCCTCCAGTATGCACCCTGACCAGGTATAGAACCCACAACCTGGTATGAGTCCTGACCAGGAATAAAACCCACAAACTTTTGGTGTATGAGACAATTCTCCACTCTATGGAGCCACCTGGCCTGGCCAGGGCAAAAATAATGAACTACTGACACACACAGCAACATGTATGACTCAAAATAGTTATGCTTACACAAATGAAACGGACAAAAAAATCTAATACTATATTATACTACAATAATACTGTATTATTTCACTTAGACAAAATTCTAGAAAATCTAAGCTAACCCACATTGACAGAAGAAAGATAAGTGGTTGCGTGGAAAGGACATATTTTGGGGGGAAGTGGTGGTGGGAGGAGGTCAGATCACAAAGTAACATGAAGACAATTTTGGAGGGAGTAAATATGTTTACTATCTTAATTGTGGTGTGGGCACTGAAACAGAGCCCAGTTGTAGCATTTCTTCTCAGCCCCACAGACCTGGTCATCTTGCATTTGACAAGCTTGTTTAGAAGCACTGGCTTAGGAATGAGTCTTTTCTCAGAAAGTTTAATTTCCTAATCCAACTTCTCCCTTCCTCCAATCCATCCTCCTACATTGAGTCACTCATCACAGATTTGCCATTTCTAAACTCTCGAACTACCAGGAAAAGTCATTAAGAATTTTATATCCAGTAATCATGGTTTCAATTTGAGATGTACAGAAATAGTCTCACAATTTTATTGTTATGGGTTGTATCGTAGGTATTGGACTTTACCTACAAATGTTTCGTCTTGTGAAAAACTATTCTTTGGTGGATTGCTACCAAATAATTAGAGGTAACAAGTTCCCTGTGTTTGGATCTTTGGTTGGCTTCATGTTCAGGAAAACAACTTGTTCTCTGAGATTCTTTCTGTTTACCATGGTAGAAACTACCCCTGTCCTCTAACTCTGCCAAACATATCATGCAAAGGCAATAAACAAATATACACAGAAAGGTATGATTAACTAGAGTTGCTTGAGAAGCACAGATTAAAGAAGTGCTAACAGCATGTGAAATCAGTCAACATACTGCATGAACCAAGAGCTACAGAAAGAATGCTCTTTTTCTTGAGGACTTGTATTCTTTTATTTTTCTTCTACATTTTAAGGAAATGTTCACTGAATCAATGGAATATCTGTGGAGCACTCATTGTGTGCAAGGGTTAGGTTTAAATATTATGAGAGGCTTCATGAGTCTTCTTCCTGACCTGCTTCTTTTGGTTGATATTTGTGTCTTGGAGCCACTGATAGTAAGATGTCTTCAGGAAATGCTGAAACTGGGGACCCTGCCTCCAACTTCAAAGCCACAGCTGTTATGCCAGATGGTCAGTTCAAAGGTATCAGCTTCCCTGACTACAGAGAAAAATATGTGGTTACCCTCTTGACTTTACCTTTGTATGCTCCACGGAGATCATTGCTTTCAGTGACAGGGCAGAAGAATTTAAGAAACTCAACTGCCAAGTGATTAGGGCTTCTGTGGATTCTCGCTTCAGTCACCTGGCATTCATGGATCAACACACCCAGGAAATAAGGAGGACTGGTACCCATGAACATTCTCTTGATATCAGACCATAAGCGCACCATTGCTCAGGACTATAGGGTCTTAAAGGCTAAAGAAGGCATCTCATTCAGGAGCTTCTTATCATTGATGAAAAAAGGTATCCTTTGCCAGATCACCGTAAATCACCTTCCTGTTGGCCCCTCTGTGGATGAGACTCTGAGAATAGTTCAGGCTTTCCACTACATTAACAAACAAGGAGAAGTGTCCCCAGCTGGCTGGAAACCTGGCAGTGAAATCATCAAGCCTGATGTCCAGAAGAGCAAACGATTGTTCTCCAAGCAGAAGTGAGCACAGGACCATTACATGATCATGGCGGCAATGTAGAGCCTTCAGAACAAAACCTCTCTTTTCCTACTTTCATGATTTAAACCCAAGATCTAAGATTTGAGCCCAATGTGGTCCGGACGAGACAAAACTTCTCTGGTGGGTGTGGGGAGGCCAACCTATCTTCTTCTGGAGGAAATAGCCTGGGCTAATGCAGCAGGCCAACTGACGTGTACAATAGTGGGACAACATCTTTTATTTCATGTAGTTTCTATTCAAATCAAACTGATACTTGAATTTGAATGATTGAAAGGATATTCCTGCAGATGATTTCAGCACGTCCACATTTTTGTAGACTTTACTGTTTCTAACATTTCTCATGTATGAAGAATTGAGCTATTGACAGGAAAACAGCCTTTTTATTTTATTGGCAACTGAGATGAGAACTACCTTCAATACCCAATGTATCTATTTTGGAGAAAAGAAGAGTTT